ATAAAAGAAACAACAAAAATAAAATCAAAAACAACAAAACAATAAAAAACCCCAACCAACCAACCAAAAAAATACACCAAGGAAAACAGCCAAGCAAAAAAGAAAAAATTGAACACAAAAATTTAGAAGACACTGTGATTACAAATCGCCACTAACCATAAATATAGAAAGCCGACTTGTAAGCATTTAATCTTTACAGCAATCAATGTAAGCAATATAATGCATTAAATTTTAGACTGGAAATTAATATTGCCAAACTTAAGCCGTCCATGTAGGTATCTGTGTCAAGTGTTCTAGGCTTTTTTCTGTAGTGTATAGAGGCAAGTAATTCCAAAGGGCTATTCACCCAGTCTTAAAATGAGGAGGGACAGCTGTAGTTTGACAGTAAATCCAAGCATTTTAAGGCATATCCTGTTATATAAGAAATTGCTGTCACATGATATAAAATACTGCTGGAGCATCTATTTACAAAAAACCTCCCAACGCTCAAAACATGTTTACAGGTTAGTTTTGTACTGGCTGCCTTATAATGCTCAAAAAATGCTCTATATTTTGTGCTGTTTAATTGGGCAGAAACGCAACTACACTCCTAGACCTGAGCTGAATGTATTCTGTAATGATGAGGGACTCAGTAGTGCAGCTATTAGCACTGAAATAATGGCTTATGAAAGATGAATACAGATCCTTCCTTTCTGAATAAAAGATAATTGGCACCTGAAATGTTAAAGTTAGTGGAGAGGAAACTTCCCTGTAATACCAGATTCAAAGGCCCTTACAATCTGTGGAAAGAATCTCACCAATTTCTTCTGATATTACACACTTCACACATATTAAAGGGATTAAACACATTGTTTTAAACATACACAGAATTATTATCACTGAATGTTTTGCACATTAGTGTTCTTAGTCAACTATTTTCAGTTCTCTGTCTTATTTCTCAGCTGACTGACATGACGCAATGTCAGTTAAAAAAAATGTTTCAATATGCCTAATATTTTGGCCTAACCCTGTTTAGGCATGTTTCATTATGTCTACTATTTCGGCATATCCCAACAACTCATGTCTCTGGCAAATACATGACTGTATCCTTCTCTTTCTCCTTCACTTTTCCTGATGGTCTAATTTTCTATTTTGTGCAGAATTTACTGATCAAAAGATGTTACTGCTGATTTCATTGCTGTTTTTCCAGTGTGTGTTGGGCTCCTCACGCTCTGTCTCTGACAGTTCAGAGAAAATATGCTGTAACAGGTACTTCCTGTTTGCATATTGCTTCTGGCCTGTTGTCAGCCTTTCACTCTTCTCTCAATTTAAGGACAGACCTCTGGCACCTCTTCTCTACAGCTACACTATTCAATCTATACATGGCATTTAGACATGTTCCAAAATCCTCATATTGCAATCCCACTGTTGTATCATCAAAGGTTCTTATTTTCCTTTTACACATATATACAAAGTTTTTAAAATATTCTGCTTTATTACACATCTTTTGGTACTCTATTTTTCAGGACTTTTGGGCTCTGTTTTCTGTCATATTACCTCACTCTCATCTCAAAGGAGAGTGAAGTTTAAATTAAGAGATTCTGTAGTGATCATTTGCAGATGTCCAACAAGAAAATGAAAGACATAAAAGACAATATTAGACCACGAGGCTGCTCTGCCTAGTGATGAGATGCAAAGTCATTTATTTCTTTGTTTACATTAGATGTATAAACCAAGCTGTACTTCCACTAGTCCTGGATACTTGATAGTGGTGAAAAGTACAGAAGCACAATCAGGCTGAGTTCCCGTATTTGATCTGAAATCTATCACTTTCCCTTCTTACCCTCAGAGTAATGCACAATCATATTAAATAAGAAAATTTGTCCTTGTCAACCATGAAACAGTCTCCAGTATTTCTTAGAAGTTCAGCATAAAATAGTTTCTTGCCCCTCTACTCCACTCTTGCCCCTCTACTACACTCTTGTGAGACCCCACCTAGAGTATTGCACCCAGCTCTGGGGTTCCTAGCACAGGAAGGACATCAGCCTGTTGAGCCAAATCCAGAGAAGGGCCACCAAGATGATTAGAGGATTAGAGGATTTCCTCCCCTTTGAGGAAAGGTTGAGAAAATTGGGATTGTTCACTCTGGAGAAGAGAAGGTTCCCAGGAGGCCTAGTTGTGGCCTTCCAGTACCTGAAGGGAGCCTATAGGAAACATGGAGAAACACTTTTGACAAGGGCATGTAATGACAGAACAAGGGGTAATGTCTTGAAACTGAAAAAGTGTAGGTTTCAATTAGATATTAGGAAGAAATTCTTTACTGTGAGGGTGGTGAGGCACTGGAACAGGTTGCCCAGAGAAGTTGTGGTTGTCCCATCCCTGGAGGTATTCAAGGCTGGTGTTCAAGGTGTTCAACCTGGTCTAGTGGAAGCTTTCCCTGCCCATGGCAGGGAAAGTTGGACTTAGATAATCTCTAATGTCCCTTCTAACCCAAACCATTCTCTAATTCCATGATTATTTTCTTACAGAGACTATGATAGTCTCTGACTATCCAGATAGTTCTACTATTCCAGACAAAAGCAACGAAAATAACCTTTTGATTTTTTTCTCTCCCCAAAAAAGCATCCTAACAAAAAGAAAGAAACAAGACAGACTAATTGACACAACTGGCAAGAAAAATCTCATAGTGAAACCTTTTTCCTTCAGATGCTCTAAATTTTATGAAACTAATAACAACTTCCATGCCTTTTAAAGGATTGTTTTGGGTAGCCCTAGATAGACAGAATTCTAATATTATCAGCTGTAATTTATAAAAATAATAATAATTTTTTTCTATTATTTATATAAAGTTTCAGCTTCTCTAGGCATTCTCTTCCACTTTTCCCCCTTTAATTTGGTGAAGGATGCTATCTCTCCTCTGTGTTACCAGATACAAATAGTTTTTCTACATGTATTGGATGGCTTATAAAATAGTCAAATATAAATTATACCACGCTATCAATGATGAAAATTTTCACTCTTTCAATAAATGACAGACGCAAAATTGTGTATGAACAGTTGATAAAATGAAATATTAAACTGTAAGGAACTAATAAGGAGGTTAATCCATTTTTGAAACATTTTTTGTTTAAGAAAAAGAAAATAATAGAGAAAAAATAATGCAATCAAAGTCTTAAAAAAGTTTGAACATAAAATATCTGTTGTCATTGAATGACATTCCTCTAGAGGTAAAAGGGCCGATAATCCTGTTAAATACTCTTATCCAATTTCACAAAATGGCAAGAGGAAAGTAAAAGCAGATACCTCCCCTGTGTGAGCTTTCTGTTTGTTAATTACACTGTAGCTAAAGTATGAAGACACCATCTGTTTCACTCAGACAACACTACATACTCAAAGGAAGTATATGAATACTTGAAACAAAGTTGCAAAGAATTACGTGGCTTTCCCCCATCTCCTCAAACATATTTTTTCCTCTTAGTGAAATAATATGTCCATACAGCAACAGTGTTATTCAGGTTGTGTAGCTATTTGCACATTATTTTTAAAACCTTAACTTAGGGGAAAAAAAAAGAATCTCTGTTATTCTAAGAATATACACCCAAACTGTGTATTTTCAGAAGGATCACAGTGATTTTGCAAATCTGGACTGAAGAGTAAGAGAAATGCTGAGGCAGTAAAACTTCATGGAACCTTTAAACTGTCATCATTAGATCTCAACAGACTGTAACAGCACAAAGAATTAAATAAAAAGCCTCTCTGTTCAGATGAAGTTCCAACCCTCTTTTAACATAAATCACTGCAAGTGCATCAGTAGCTGTTTTATAGAATTACTCCCATGTACCATCCATTTTTCGTTGTAACTCTGTTCTTATTCTTAACTCCATTCTTATTCTGTATCAATCTATTTTTCCATTGAACCATAATGACTGCCTGAATAAGTTCTGTGCATAATGATCTTCCCACTCTCTCTCTGGCCTCAACATTAAACAGGAGCATGTCTGAGAATGGAAAGCAGATATGTGAGACTCTCCCAAACAGGCTCTGGAAGGGGTAAGGTGGTAAAATGGTAATAATACCTTGGAGCCAAGGGAGTAAAAGCTCTATTCATGGCTTCAAAAACCAGGTGATGGAGCAGTAACACTCTTTCACTTTTTGCTCTCATTTACATAATTCATTCTTCCTTCAAATTACTATATGCACACACATGTATTTGTCATACACATAGAAAGAATAAGGGTAGGGTAAAACAAAGGCTAATACAACTACCAAGCACAGGAAGCACAACGAGGTAAATAATGTTAACATTAAGAGTCTCTGTGTCAACCCATGTTAGAAACATTGCTATTGCTACACAAAATTATAATATTAGAATAGATCTTGCCATTCTTGAAAGAAATATATATAAATTTCACTGACCAGAGGAAAAAGAAGGTCAAAATGGACCTCGCTCAATGATTTCTTCTGTTTCAGCAATAAAATGTATAAAGGGATTTAATAACAGTTAAGTAACTGTTTAGATTTGTCATCATGCTGCCTGTAATAAGATGATATAGCACCAGAAGGCAAAAGGGAGAAGGGCACTGCTGTTCCTGTAGTGCTCTTTCCTGTTTCATCCTACACAAGCACAGCAGGAATGAAAACTCCCCACAGATGTCTCTGAAAGCAGAAACTCTTATTGATTAGAAAAGGATGGAGCTTTTAACATGCCTACATCACCTCCTTTGCAAAAAACACCAGTCATAATTATGAGCATTCTGGCACTGCCCCAGCTGCTCTTGAAACAAAGCCAAAACTAGCAAAGAACATGGTATTTTATTGGTTTGAGGTTTTTTTGGTTTTGTTTTTGTTTGTTTTTTTTTAAGATGAAAATATAGCTTTACAACAAATCTATAAGCCTGTGCCAATTCTTTCCCTAAAAAAGTCAGAAATGTTGTCACTGATTTCAAGTGTTTCCAGCACTACAATTATCTGTAATTGAACTATCTTATAAAATAATTTTAAAATTAAATTAATCAACTTACTTGAAAACTGTATGGCGAATCCAGATTTGCTGATATAAAAATCTGTGTCAAACTGGATAGTTACTATGTTGAGTGTACTGTGAATGCCTTCAGGAACAAGGGAGCCACTAATTTCTTTGAGTAACATGTCGTTCTCAGGTGGACCATCCCAAACTCGTAGGATGTCATGGGATGCTTCAGTATCAAAAGCAAGAAATTGGAGGCTGAAAGAACAGCATGATTTTTTTGTCAGCTTTCATATTACTCGACAATATAACTTCAACAATAAAACTATACAAACAAAGAAAAAAAGCAAATAAAATTTAATTTCTAAGGGTGATTTTCTATAATGCTTCACACATTTATCTTTGAATGCATGAAATGCCAATACTAAAAATAATAAAACTAACAATATTTGAATTTATCCACTATGAAATAATGTATTACGTTAGCCATTCATATAATCTATAAATAATCTACACAGTCTTTTCAGAAGAGAGTTACAGTTTTCCTAAGACAATATTATGGATCAAATTCCCATCAAAACAAATTAACTAGAACTGTAAAATCATGCAATTAGCAATGTAGTGTGAATAAATGTCCAACTAAAAAGAACTGCTAAAATGCAAGGTATTTTTTTTTAACTCTTTCACTAAAGAGTTCTGTTGCCTCCAGAATTTCACAAAATTATAAGCATTTTTTAAGCTTGATCTTCTTTTGTAAATGTTTATTGAAAGATAGACAGTTTCAACCCAAACCTAAAATGCCAAAAACACTGGGCTTGAGTTGCACCTTAAATTTTAAGTGCAAAATCCCTTTTTTTCTCCACTCTAGAGCTAATATAGTCAAAAACATTTGTTATAATTGTAAGACTTGTTTTCAGTACCTGACAATATTTCCTGGGTCTACTTCAATCACCCACATGCAACGCAGGTTGTTGTCATAGGGAAAAGGATAGCCAGGAGATAAGATTCTTCCGGATGATTCTCCTTTAAAACGGCCTCCACATTCAGCTAACAAAAACAACATTATGTAATGGTATTCCAGCTCATCATGTGAGCAATCAATTTATACACCTACTCTCTTGTTGAACAGCACAATTAATGACTGTATGCCCTAATATTGTAAGAAAGTGTATAAGGACTGCATTACACCTTTTGCTTCCCTTACTCACTCATATTCCTCTAAAAGAATATGAAAAAGAAAGAAAGCTACTATAATATTTAAGATTTGTCTCTTTTCACTCTCCTGTGGGAGTAATTGTGCCTGTAGGTACTTGCAAAACTTATAAAGTTATAATAGTAATGTTGTAAAGAAACAGAAATGACAAACCCCACAAAATAACTCTATATCTCTTCATATATTAATATATTTGTTTTTATTTATTTTACAGTATTCTATGTAAATATATGAAAAGTTTTCTAGCTTAATGATATTTATATGTAATTAGCAAAAAAAAAATACTTATGAAAGTATGGTCCCAGCTTTCTGATTAAGCTGTCTTTTTATATTGATTATTTGCTGAGTATAACTAGATTTTCATGCATTAGGATTTTCAGTATGCAAAAATGTTTAATATTTACTACCTTTTTAAAACCTAAAAAAGGCAACACCACTCACATAGACTTAGATGAGAACTATACAGAGAGAACTATAAATGCCTGTGTAAATAGATCATAGATCTAACGATTCTTACAATTTTTTCTTTCTTGCATTCAAAAAATAGCTTAAATAAATAAAGAGATAATAATAATAAAGAGTCTAATACCAATACATGATGGCAGAGGATAATCCCATGCCCTTCTTTCCCCAGTCATACACTTTAGCAGGCTACTTCCGTGGAGTGTGTAACCTGGATTGCATCCATAAATTATAGTACTTCCAGCAAAATGGCCTTGGTCACTGATTTTATATCCAAACTGTGGCACACCAGGGTCCTCACAGTGTGAAAGCTCAAAACCTGTGGGAGAATAAATTTCTAGTCACAAAATCAAATGGATAAATACATTAATGAAATTCAGATTTTCTCTATTCCAATGGAAATCAACAATTTCCAAACTCCTTGTAACAACATATTTAGGTTAAAATCACTTCTATGGTTTTGAGCAGTCTAAGTAGGATAACTGTCTATACACCTTTCTTAGAGCATGGAAGACAAAGTGTGTCAGAACTTCTCAGAACTTCATTTTTCCCGAGTTCAATTAAAGGTTGAGAAGAAAATTCATTATCATTATCAATCAGTTCTAAAATGATATGATAATTATAAAGTGGCAGCTAAAGTGACTGTGCATTTAGTTGTGAATAGACATTTAAAGGCTCATAAATAAAATTGAACAGTATATTTGTTTGTCACTATTTTGCAGAGTAATAACAGCAGCACAATAGCACCTGTGGCACCAAAGAAATACTGTTATACTCATCAATCCCTACCCTAATTTTGTGTTCAGTAGATTATAAATTTAAGAACTACATGGAGAAATCAATTATAATGATGATATAGAGAATTCAAGCCATTTTTGAGAATAAGAGATGTAGAGCAAGAAGGAAACAAAATAACATATGCTTTACACTGAAAAGGGGAGGCATGCTAACATATAGGAAAACATAAACTGCAATCTGGGAGAAAGATTTTCTATTCCAAATCAGGTTTTCTGTTTCTAACTGAGAAGCAACTTAAAACCTCACTTTGTTCAAAACCAAATGATTTCATCAATATCATGCGGCTCAGACTATTTGCAGGCAAAAAAGAGACTTTGTGTGAGATTGGTATTCCTTCACATAGGTAATATGGGAGCAAATTAAGGGGTTTTTGTGTCTACTTTGTTCAGCAAAGTAATTCACACAGCATTTTTCCATCTGGTCAAGAGTTGGTAGCCTTTCACAATCTCTCCTCAGGTGCTCAATCACTATTACTAATTTAAAAAATGTTCTTTATTTTATTTTACAGGGAAAATGTTTCATGCTGGATGAGAATGTTTGCTTACATAAGGGCAAAAAAAATAAGGTATGTCAAATTCTGTATCTTTACAGTTATTCCTTCAGCTCATTTAATGTGTGACTGAAAATGCCTCACCTATTGAAGAGCCTTCACAACCTCTGAGCTGAACTCTTCTCATTCCTAAGCTATTGTTTCCTAGTGCAAAGTGTGCTGCAGAAGCTCTGACAGAGGCTAAAGTGAGTTCCAGATGAAGAACTGTTTTTGATAATGTTGGTCTGGAGACTTATCGATCAGTTAGAATTTCCTGTCTTCTAAGAAAACTGCTGATCACACTGTGTGAAAAGAAGTTAAAATCTGCCTTGACCCCTGAGATTTCCTCATCTCTGCACAGCTTGCTTAAAGACAGAATCAAAGTAAACTTTTTAATAACTGATCACGTTCCTCTTGAAGGTGAACATGTAACTCCATTTCCTAGCTGTGGGTACTGGAAGCACTTTTGCTACCCTAAGTGTGTATGATCAGGAGCACTGTGACCAGCGCAGGCAAAGGGGGCGTGAGGCCTTGGCCAGGGCATGGCAGGGCAGTTTATGCAGGAGGACACACAGGGAGAACACTTCTTTGAAAGGGTGAACATTCCACTGGCTCAGTAAAGAGACTTGAAGCCCATATAACCCAGCAAACTGGCACCACTCTGTGACCATCTGCACAAGCCAAAAGTACTCATCCTACCTGACCCCCAAGGTAGAATGGTGGGCACTCATCTGAGAGCAGAGGCTGCAGCTCTGAATGGAGGGTTTGCACCATCCACGCTGGCTGATGCATCCACCCAGACAGAGCTCAGACTGAACTATTCCTTGTTCTAACCTTACCCTCTTTCAGTTTAATACCATTACCCCTTGTCCTATTACCACATGCTCTTGTAAAAAGTCCCTCTCCAGCTTTCTTGTAGACTCCCTTTACATACTGGAAGGTGCTATAAAGTCTCCCTAGACCCTTCTCTTTTCCAGGCTGAACAACTCCATCTCTCCCAGCCTGTTTTCATAGGAGAGGTGCTCCAGCCCTCTGGTCATCTTCATGGCCCTCATCTCGACTTACTTTATCTCTTCCAATTCTACCAGTACCAACAGAAGAAGATTCAGCACTCTTCAGGTTAATAACTATTCAGGTTAGGAAAGTGTATTCTATAAGAATGTCTGTTTCAAAAGACAGAAAATTTTAATGATAAGGTTCAAGTGCTGGGCTTGGATGTACCTACATAAATAAGAAAAATCGAATACCTTGGCACTTATATGATAACAGCACCAAAAGGCCTATCTTTAATCATAGGGTACAGTCCTATGCTATCACATGCTACTACAGGGTATAATTATGCAACTTTCACCTTGAAAATAATTACATACTCTCCAGTATCTTGAAACATTTTCCTTTCATTCTGCAAGACTTATGTTGTTTTTTATTAGAATTAGTTTTAAAAACATGATGTAGAGTTTTTGAAACAAAAGAACAGTTTTACAAGTGAAAAATGAATTATTTAAGCACAGGGACAAAAAAGGATGTTGATAACTGCAGAGTTACCTTATAATACTGTCCTGCTTGATAAAAATTCAGTTTATATAATAATTCACTGATGATGAAATAGTTAGACACTAAAAAAAGTCATATATACATGTCAATAGTCACGTACAACAATCACATACATTTTCAGAAGCTGACACTTGACAAAATAGATGTGTATAGCTGCTTCCATATACCCTCTAAGCCAGAGATCTGAAAAGGTTTTTCCTCTCCTCATGTTTAGAGTTTAATTTTGTCAGTCTAAGAAGGTTTCATTAGGAACCTACCTTTATTATTTTGGTTCCAAATTGGATGATTCTAAACAACAATGCAAGCTCAGAAACAAATGCAAAATAAGCATCAAACATCAGTCTTAAGAGGGAGAATGTCCTTTAGTTATGAATTATCTTCATGAAACAAAGTGTTTTGGTTACAGTTTAAAAATACTCACATGCTTCAATATTTTTATGTGCTAACACAATTAACTGAAACTTACCCTATTTCCCTTAAGCTTTCCAACACTGAAAATGACTTCAAAAAAACAACCCTCTAAAAAAAGGACAGTGATTTAAGTATCAGACTATACAAATGATTGTCAAAGCAAGGTTTCAGTATGCTACATGTTTTGGGTCTTTTGAGGTATGATTATGAAAGTATATTATGTTGATGAGTGATCTGCTGTTAATTCTTTCGGTATTTGTCATTTAACTGCATTTTCATCTTATGATTTTCATTCCTTTAAAAGCATAAGTCTATTACTACTGTTTTCTCCAATACTTACTGGTATACACAAGCTGAAAACCTTCATCAGTGCCCTCCGTGTCTGAGTTAAATTCCAACCACAAATGATTTGAAGTACTACTTAGTGTCAGGCCTCTTAATGATGCACCAGTATATGCTCCCAGCAGGTGAGCAGTGTTGTCTTTACCATCATAGATCTGTAAAAAAATGTGAATTTTACAGTTATGAAGAAAAAAAGCTCCAGTTTATTTACAAAACAATTCTGTACATCTCCATTTAGAGGGAGGACAACTCTGCCAAGGGAGATCTATTGCCAGTCAACCCAAAGTACTATTTGGATATATTATTTGCCTCTCTTAAGTTGACTTAATTCTGGTGATTTTTCAATTGCAGAGTCTAAAATATGTCAATTCCTTTTTCGCATAACAGTAGAAGTGGGCAGAGGTGCCACATCATCTCAGTCTTTTTAAATTTGTGTTTTCTCTTTCACTGTCAGTAATGTAATGTGGATCACAGCTTATCAGCAAACACCTGTTTTGTGTAGCTGTATCTGCCTCAAGTCACTGAGATGGCATAACAGAAAAGCTCACATATCTCCAGTTTTGGCTTATTATATAAACCTGTGGTGGTTTTCTTCCATGTGAAGAGAGGTTCAAACATAACTATAAAGTAAAAGGAGAATAGGAAATAAATTTAGCAACTGCTTCTCTAAGTTGAAAGACTAATGTAATCTGTATGTAAATTGGAATACAGCACTTTTATTTTTTATTTTTCTTCAAGTGTTTTTCTTTTCCACATTTGAATCAGAAACTTTCATCAGATACTAAATATATAGAACAATCTTTTTAATAATTCTCAGCAAATTTCCCTACAAATTTGATTGCTTTAAAGTATCACAGGTTGTTGGATTCCTGTAATTCCTATAAAAACCTATAACTTCACAATAATTGCTAACCCATTCATTCTGTCTCATAGGATTTATTTAGTGACTTCTAAAATAACTAAAACTTTGATAAATGGGGTTTACAAAAAATTTCACTTACAAATCAGCAAATCAACCTCTGAACAATTTTCAAATTGCAATATAGGAAAATTGTAAAACTCTAGTAAAAAATATGAAATTGTCTGCAGTTCTAAATAAAATCTAATTGTATTAATTAGAAATTTAATTAAAGCTTTCATTTGTAAACAGGAATCTTCATCAGAACTAAATCAAATACACCAGCAATAGTAGTAAGGCAACAAAGTGAATGTGAAGTATTATGATGCCTGTTCCCTATCTGTGAGAATGACTCACACACACAAATCCTATTTTCCAGAAATCTTCATGTCTTTAGTAATAACAAAGATTTTACATTTAATGATATGCTGAAATAAAACAAATAAGTGATTTCTAGCTATCTGTAGTGAGTAAATAATTGTACAGCAGTTTAAGATCCACAACAAAATGACTTGGTATCATTCCTTGTTTTTTATTGACACAAGCAAATAAATTCCAAACTAAGTTCAATTTAAATGCCAATGTCCTTAAATAGAGTAAATGTAAGAAATTACAGAAAAGAAAAAAAGGTGCAATTAATGCTTATCAAATAAAAAGTAATTTCAAAATACGTACAGCAGTATTAAAATAGATTTCTTATGCTTTTGAAAAACTTCTGTAAAACTATACTGAGGTCAGTAATCAAGCCAGAAAAATAAAAAAACGACTACAAAACAAGCAAAAAAAGCCCCCAAAACAAAACAACAAAACCAAACAACACCCTCCCCTCCCCCCCCGTGAAAATTAATCTGAAACGTACTTAGTTTTGTTTTAGTAACTGAAAGAAAATGCCCATTTCAGAAGAATTACAGCTATCCAAAAGAGATATTTACATCATGACAGACTTAGAGAAAATCCAGCTTGAATTTGATGCTCTTTCTCCTAATTTCTCCAAGGTAGTTATAACTAATAATATCCAAGAATTCAGGATTTATTTTATTTTTAAACACTCTATAAGAGTAATCCATTTCATGCTATGTGTGTATCACTAATAATTAACCAAAAGAAGCTGTTATAAAAGTTATACCAACTATTCTCAGTGTCTCACCAGAACTTCCAATAAGCTACATCATGATACAAATTTTCTTCATGTTAGAATTTCCCCACACATATTTCATTGCCAGTTTTGTTAGATGTCCTACCATATTAAACTTTTCGCATTAGTCCACTGTCATCTCTTGTTAACACTAATTCTACTTTGTGGGCTAACCAGCTGTCCCACTGCATAATGCTGTTAAGCCTATATAATTTCTATGAAGGAACAGAATTTAAAGCACCCTAACACTTCTGAAACTGATTCTTCTGAGTAGGAAAACTGCATCTGGCTGAGGCAGGATTGTGATTCATTTGAACATGAAACTGAAATAATTTTTTTCTTTTGGTTACTGTCTTTCAGACATTCAGAGTAACATATACCCCTTTTCTTGAGACAGTGGGTCTCCATTAGGACAATAAATGAATGCATGTTTTGTAGTACAACTTTCAACTTATGTCACATCATTTTTTGGTGCATTTGATTTAATAGAAAAAAACAGAAATTTACAGAATAATTTGAATGATACAGTTTAGCTTGCAAAGAAACTGCTAACAGACCCTTGTGAGATTTGCAGAACCAGCACTTTCTTTCTAACCTTGTTAAATTAGGTGGAGGTTTTTTAAAACTAGATGGGAGCTAAAGATTTTGAATGAGTTGGTAATTCAGCTTCATAATTTGTTCTGGGAGAAAATGTGAATTATATTATATATGACTTAAGGTAGCACCATTAGCTTATTTTTAATATAGGAATATTCTTTCTTATAGGCCTTGCCAACAGACCTGGATTAAGTAACTTGGGTGCTAAAGATAAGTCCAAGAATAATCATCATGAAAATATTATTTGGCTGGATATATTTTTCTTAAAGTCATCCTGTAACATTAGTTCAAAGATAATTGATTCACGACTCTATAATGCCTGAATAAGCAGTAACAAGCTATTCAGAAAACAGAGGTCCATATTTATCAGCTATTTAAAGGCCTAATCTGTTAAATGATTAATTCATAAAGAGGAGTAAAGACACAGAAAATAATGTTAAACTTCTTCATATCACAATAATATTTGAAATGTTATAGAGAAGGATGATAACACTGAATACTCTACGTAAATATGATTTGAACTAACGGGTGTTATGTTCAATTTGAGAAGGAGCAGTTATGTTTGCATTTACAGTTAGCAAATAAACCTTGCTAATCTTTTGAGTGGCTCCATTATCAACAAACTTAAAATGGAAACTAATGCCTTTTTTCTGCTAACTTTTTTAACTGTATAAAATTTTAGCAAGAGAGTAGCATGAAGTGAATGTATTAAATTTGTGCATTTTAATCAAACTATTTTTGAGATTTTTCCATTGAAACATAAGAGACATATGGATATGATGATCTGTGCCTTCATAAAGAGAAGAAATAACATAAAATCAGGAGCTCAGAACTGAGGCTGTCAACGCCCTGTCAAATGTATATCACATGCAAATAGAAGCACTAATATAAAGACAGAAAAGGGTCCATATGTTTTGGGGGTTTTTTTTGTTCTCTACATTTATTACCTATTTCTCACTCATGTTTTCCGAATGACATTGCTAGAGGTACTATGATAACAAATGGAGATTCTTAAGAAACAAATTAGCAAAAAGGCCCAAAAATCACCTTCCCTCAAAATCTTTGACCAAACCCCCTCAAAAACTGAATCATGTGCACACATTTCAAATCTGGCCCACAGATGAGACAGCAAACAAATACAGTAAAACTGAATCCTCCATATTTGGCAGGAGAGCAAACAGTGCTGGGCCAAGCAGAGGGAAAGGGAATCCTGATTGCCAGTTCTATTTTCTTCACTGACACACTGTTACCTTTCTGTTGCTGCCCTGAGCGCTCTAGTAAAAGAAGAAAGAAAGATTGCTTCATTACAGTATCAAAATAATTCTTGAATCTATTTTCTCCACACAGATGCAATCTCACTTGGTATGTTAGCTCTCACTCTACACAAGGCCAAGCACATAATCTACTACAAAAGATAAAAAAGATCTGCGGAAACATCTAATGTTCTTTTTCCATCTCAGTCCTTTTCATACTTTCTGTTCCTCTGTCTTTTATTTTATGTTTACTTAATGGAATCTGCCTGCTGAATTTTTGGGGTGGAGGTTTGGTTTCTTTTTTAAACATTACCAGTAAACTACCTATTAATTAGTACCCTGCATAGGTACATTTTTATTTATATTGAAATTTACTGAAAAGAAATAAAACAGTCATATTAGCTTTGTTCAAGCTTCAATTTTAATAAAAGTACCTTTTCCCCCATAAAATAAAAAAGTATATTAAAATATCTTTGAATCAGAAGAATATTTTCTACATTCAACTGATCTGAACACAAATAAAGTGTTCACCACTAACAATGGACTATTCAGGCAAAAAGAAGAATAGCAACTGTGCTCCTTTCTGTGTAAATCTAAAGGATTTGCTTACAGCTATCACAGATTAGAGAATTTACAATAAAAACTGGTAGACGGAGATAAAAGCAGGGGGGAAAAGGCAGGTAGAAATATTCTCACACTTTGGAAGCAATATATTTTTTTTAGTTTGCCTCCCACATATGTAGTTTAGTCTAAAAATTTTGGATTTTGGAAACATAGTGCACAAACTCAGTTATCAGTAAAATTGTAAAGAAGGAAGCAACTGTTAGAGAGTTTCTGAGATTAACATTAAATGGATTGGCATATTATGACCATACAGATCTTAAATTCTTCATGTATCTTCTACATATGTCTTCATGTAACTTTCACAAATATTAAAACAAGATGTGACACTATCAAGAACAGGTTATTTCCCTACTCAAAAAATGTAGTGGGAGTTATATATTTCTTTTAGTTTGAAATAAAAACCAACAAGAACTACACCATTAATGTAAGTAGCCAGAGCAGTTACATCAGAAAGAGAACAAGAGAATTGTATGCTAAGTGAAGCAAATGACAAACAAATTATATGCTTCGAAACCTCTTTTCTATACCAGTTCAAAACTGATAAAAAGGAACTCCTCCTTCTCTGCCTGTGGAGTAACAGTAACATTTATTTGTGTTAAATATGCTGTTTCCCTCTAATGTTGCATTCCCAGTACTGCTGTTTCATTGTTTCAATCACAGTGCTTGTCAGATATAAATGTGATCCATGGTCAGTTAATTCATGTGGAAAGCAGCAGACCTCATGACTTCATTAAAGAACATATCAAAAGTTTATTACAATACTCAGCCTATTCAGACTTTGAATGGAATTTTAGTTGCCTAGGTTTAGTAATGTAAAATCTTAGCTGCAAGAAAAAGTAATATAAAGTACATGATTAATTTCTTTGTCAGAATTTTCACCTATCAGTTTTGATGAGAAGAGGTGCATTATCCACTTCTTAACCAAAGTTTGTTACTAAAAACCCGAGCTTTAACTATGAAATATTATGGGGTTGTCTTATTTGTGTTTGGGGGAAGGAAGACCTGTCTGGAAGTCGTTGTTTTAAGTATCTTGATTTTAAAACAGTGAATTCCTTACTCTCCCTAGTTCACAGTTTAAGGGGAATTGTGTATTACCCTTTTCTGTAGTAGTGATACATATTAGATAGGTTTACAGCATTTGTTGACTATTATTGATTCATTTAAAACTAAAGTATAACGCTAATTTCCTATTCCTGTAGTCAAGAGTTTATTCTCTACAGTCAGCAAAATAGGCAAATCAGGCAGTCCCTTCCTTTTTTTTCATTTTCATTTCCAGTTCTACAAAAATAAAAGGAAGTTCCTGCAAACTTATCTTCAAAAACATTTCACTGGGATTAACATAAATCAGTCGAAGAGAATACAGGAAAAAAATATGTGGGTAAGCAAGACTACTTTCCTGATCTTGAAGATATTAATGATAAATGTTAGGCATATTCCCAAGTCAGTCGCACACAAAATCTTCCACTGATTCTTTTCCAGCTTCTGGAGATGAGAAGTAATCAATAATAATAGGGATCAACAGAAACTTCAGAACTGGGTCTGTGAGAAAAGTTTTGGGATGTGTGACTGCTAATGTATTTCCTGGAGAATTTTCCTCTATCAAATAAACACATGAAAAAAGAGCGTGACAGAATTAAGACATTTTCATGTAAGAAAAGGGGTACAAAGAGACACAGTGGGTTCCATAGATATCACTTCTTCCCACAATATCAAAGGTCAAATGCCTTTGTCTTGCTACGATGTCAGATAGGCTGAAAAAGGGTGACAATCATAAGAAGAACTACTTCTTGTAGCTGGTTTTTGTGGTGGGTTTGTTTTTTTTTAATAGCTTGGGAGGAACTCCAGGTTCTTATTATGATTCAAGGCTGCTGACTCGAAAAACAAACACTTTAATTACACAATACTAGTTTCACTTAAAAAATGCACCTGCAAAACACAGCTAATATTTTTACCACTGACATTTATAGCTGAACAGTGGCCTTCCTCTATCTATGAGTAATTTTGTATTACTCTTAATTTCACATTAATTGAGTAGCAGTATTAAAGGACAATTTTCTTTTAAAAGCCTCTGAATTAACATTTCCTAGTTTAACTTTAACATCTGCAGTGCACATGGTACTAAAGGTACTTGAAAAATCATAAGTGATAGATCTTTCAAAATTTTGTGTGCATTAAATGATTAAGAAAGAAAAAGAAGAAAAAAGTTGAAATGCTTTACATTCATATTAACTTATATTTATCTAACTGTATATAGCTGTAGCTAACATCCCTACAGTTCTATGATTTTTAAACCAATATAATAGAGTTGAATGGTTTCAACCCAAAAGTCTTGAGAAAAATGCAGCCTTATACTTTATTGGATGGGCATAAAACATGTGGACAGAAATATGATAGTGACTTGAATGGATAATGACTCAAGTTCAAATGTAAGAAAGACCTGAATTCAAATCTGATGCTAATTTTGGTTAATTTAAAGATCTTACCAGTACTTCACTAATTTTTCTGCTTCATTAGGAAATTGCAAAATTTTTGAAATTACATACTTGCATACACCATCTGAATATTTTAACGGTAAATTGAACAACTTTTTTGGTTGATTTGGTTGATTGGTTAGTTGGTTGGTTGTTTTGTTTTTTTTTCCGATGCTATATAAATAAATATTAATAAATAATTTTATACTATTAATATAACCATATATTAATAAATATTAAGTAACTTTTGAATTAAATCTTTCTATATTGATTAATGTAACAATTAAAAGGTATCTACTTGCTTCTGAAGTAAGCAGTGAGTTTAAGATAAAATAAACATACCTGTGCATTCTGGGTATCTAGTAGCCTTAGGTTTATTTTTCTTTGCTTGTGTTTTAAGAAGAACATAATACTTTTTTTTTTAACCATTTGATTTATACTTGAACAATCAGACAATTATTTAATTGCTTTATGGATATCTTGTTGCATTGGTGTGCTAGTGCAGATGGTATGTGCTAAAAAGACACTCATGCTGATAAACATCATCTTTAAATGTGTAGTTGGTTAAGCAATATATGGATCTGGAAATATACTTTTTGGAGTGCAGTAATAAAATCTATGAACAAATCTACTGAAAAAGCTACGGAATTTATAAAGTGAAATCACTATAAAACTCTGGTAGTCTAGTACCATGTTTTTCCCTCTATTGTTTCCTTTTTAATGCGAAAATTCTATTCACATGTAATTGCTGTGCTTACCATTTCACAGGACATTACATACTACTCAAGATTAGAGTCATTTAAAGTGTAAACCTCATGTACAAAATGGAGCCTGTGTTAAATTAAAGTACTGGGTGTTTATGTTTAGATCACAGCTGAAGTTATGAAGATACTGAGGAAGTAAACAAATCAAAAAATGTTATTGATTAATATTAAACATTAAAATTAGAATACTAATACACATTAAGGCAACATTAGGTTTATGATTTACATCTCTAATTATCTGTGGTGAGAAAATGATCTTTTAAGAAACAGATTATTGAGACACCTCAGGTTGTCAAATTTTTAACTTTTTAAAAATAGAACCAGTTGAGAAACATATTTTCTAAGAGATGCCTAATATCAACTTACCTGATACTGTATTATCACAGATAAATTTCAGTGATATGAGGAACTACAAGATAAGTTACATGATTACATACCTTAAGAACATCTCCTTGGGCTAAGTGAAACGTTCTGGCAGAAATATTGATTCCTTTCCCTGCTTGTACCTGAATGCTATAAATACATTCATGGTTGTTTTCATAGTTAAGAGGATAATTGGGGGACAATAAGATTCCTTCATTATTTGTTGTGGATGCTCCACATTCAGCTGCAATTAAAAGAAAATGTTAAGGCATATTTTAATAAAACACATAAATATTTTTAGTAATGTTGATAATGGTAATGTTAATGTGACCTGGTTCAAAATTATTAACATTATTAATATCTAAAATCTAGTTCTAAGTATATGACCATGATAGTGATTGGAGGCTGCAAGAATATTTCTAAATTTCAACACTTTAATAAATGTATGTTAAAAAACATGAAGAGTTAAAATCATAACAGTGCACATTTCATAATTATAATGTTTTAAAGGATCTTTCTTGAATTTTATTATGGAGGAAATATATTTAAGTTCTCCAGCACAGAAATTCATAAAGACTTGCAAATTAAATGAAAATAAAAGAATTCTAGAAATTTATATGCATATTTATTTATATATACATGCACATGCATAAATATACATACATGCAGATACATATATTTTCACATAGATTAATGACAAAAAGAGATTTTTTTTCTCTAATAGTAATTTATTAAAATAACTAACATAGTCAATGGTACAGTTGAAAAATAGCTATGTTATTTCTACCAGACAAATATAGAAAAAAAATAATTAAAAGGATAAAAAAATAGAAAAACACAACTTTGGGGGAAAAAACCCTAAACAAATCAAATAGATTTCAGATTAAGAGTTAAAAATAAAAATAAAAAAGTATTCCCAAGTTATACTGATATTATTCCAAAAAGTAAACCTTATAATTCAAGATTTTGGTAACTAAGTTAATCATCAAAAATACCTTGAAACATAAACACTTGTGGCAATTCTTCATTAGGCATTACTAACTAATTTTCACTTATTATCATATAGGACTATTTACATAATTTTAATTAAGGTATTTTTTGCATTTTGTACCAGGCATTTTAATAAACACTGAGAAACTATTACAATTCTTTCCTTCCCTTTTTATTTAGTGTTGATATGTGGCAATATAGTGCAAGGACAAGAGTATTTCCTCTCTTTCTAACAGACTGAAATTAATTTTAAATTTAACTGTAACACTAAATTTTTGGGGTTTATATTTGTTTTCAGGATCATTTCAATATTCTTGCCATTTATTTTACCCAGTCTTATGAGAATGCACTTCAGTTATTTTAACCCAGGAATTTCATTAGTTCATGATTACACAGAATAAGACATTTTGTTGTGAAAAACTATGTGGTACTTTTAATGATTTGAAAAGATGCTTAAACAAATGATGGTGTGTATTCTAAAACCTTTTATTTTTTATTAATATTATTATAATTCCCAACCCAGACTTGTTTTAGCAATGTTCAGAGTATTGAAAGATATATCTTTTTATATGAAATTTGTACAAAAATGACAAAAAAAACCCCAACCAACTTGATTAACTATGCTTTCTGTATTGCTAAAGCAGAAAGCCAAATCAGGTACAGATCAAAGCAGAACAAATGTTTGATGACTATGTTTAATTCAGCGATATAGAACAAGTACACAAATAATTCATTACTTTCTCTTAGAACAGTTGGATACACATACTCTAGGCAGAAGTGGAAAACCTCCTAGTCCACATGATCACATCTATCCTTTTATTTCATTCTCAAATAAATGGTTATTTGCTTACTCTGAAGATGCATAGGTCACTTTGAATTATAACATGAAGGAGTAAGATGATTGTAATTTCAAGTTTGTGAGATATTTTTTTCCAATTACAAAGAGATATAAGAGCCAAAAGGCATAAGGTAATTATGGTATTAAGTTGATCCAACAACCCTAGGTTATATCAGAACTATAACTCAAAGCAGTTTTTTAAAATCTGATCACAGTAGTGAGCTAACTGTTAGGAGATTTTTAACAAAATCATGTTAGATTTTCTGTTACAATCAAGGAATTTTTTCATGTCATAATATTTATCAATTTGATTTGAATTTTCTAAATTTAGAGAGAGAGTATTGTGTTTCAAGTTGTGGATGCCCTGTCCCTGGAAATGTTCAAAGTCAAGCTGGATGAGGCTTTGAGCAACCTGATCTAGTGAAAAATTCCTACCCATGGCAAAGGGATGCACTACATGCTATTCAAAGGTCCCTTCCAACCCAAACTATTCTGTGACTCTTTGTATGATTGTAACCCTTGTGTTAGCAGACAAGAAAGCGAGTTTAGCAACAGCAGTCTTGAAAACCACAGTATAATAGAATTTCTCCCATAGCATTCAGTTATGTCACCACAGTTCCATGGAAGCACACAGTGCAGCCTACAACAGTGGCTCCTTTGTACACTTCTCAGAGGAATTCTGACAAAATCAACAGTTAGTTCCTGGCTTTTCTTCTTGCCTCCTGTCAGAGCAAATTATGACTTAAAAAAAACACAACAAAACAACTAAATACAAAGACTCAAACACACGCACACATACAAAACCCCCAGGAGTATATTTCTGAATAAGTGCTGAATCAAACTGGTAAGACACACAATTAGTATTATAAGACCTCCCAAACTATACCATTGATAATTCTATCTGCCAATCTCCACTTCTATCTATAAACATGAACAGGCTGTTTAAAATTACATGGAACTTCATGTAACCTACAGTTTCCTTCTATTCTTTGATGTTAATACTAGAGCACAAATAGAAAGAGATCATAATTTTTCTACTTGCAATTATGTGCTGAGTAAAAAAGTGTTATGAGAAAATAATGTTAACCAATTTCTTAAGTTTAAAATAAATCCAAATATTAAACATACATAATTTAAAGTGTTTGGAAAAATTATTTTAGCAGGCATTACAGTGAGTGACTGATAAAAAGAGAGGCAAACCAGTAAAAAATTAAGGAAAAATGTGTAAAGAGGGAAACACAGAAGAGAGAAAAGAAGTTACAAAACCTTATTTCAGAGTAAGGAAAAATTTACAGAGCAGCAGAGAGTCTGTAACTATCCTTTAAAACATACTTAGAGCTGTTGCCAGAAATTACAAATATATTATTACTGCCTTAATATTTCATTTTAGTAGCATTCCCTGTTAAACAGAGATGAAATTCATGTTGTTCTAATTACAACATTTTGCGTTTTTTAAAAAATCTACTTGCTTCAGCTGAAACTTAGAACCTGTGCTACACACTCTTCTTATAGGAAAAAAAAAGAAATATGGAAAAATATTTCACATCCAGCTATATTTTCCCAAAGACTTTTAATCAGCCTTACATAAAGTACAAGGATGTAACAGTAAGATTGAATTAAATCACTGTTTCTGAGCTTTGGCAGAAATAAAGAATCATTTTAGTATTAGAAGGGAAAATAAACAAAAACTCAAAGAAAAATAATGAAAGGTAAAAACTTATATGGTGAGATAATTATAATAAATACACTTCTAGCTATGAATGTGTGTTTACTGCACATTTCCATAATAACACACATGAGTAATAAACTGCTGTTTATTAGTATATTTAAATTCTGTAGTCATGTAAAATGTCACTGTTAGTGTAACCAAGGAAAGAAGTGCATCTCATTGGGTAACAACCATTTGGACACAATGCTTCAATGAATTGGATGGTTTTTTAAAAAAAAATATTAGGAGAATATTGCAATTCTCTACATAAATAATTATCAATAAAAAAAAGATGATATGCTGCTACAGATTGAAATTCATCCAGAGTGAAATTTTCTTCAATACAGTCCCTTGGAATCAAAAGATAGGAGCTTCATCTAGCAGCTCTGTGTTTTGAAAAGATGTTATCTCTTAGTTAGGAGACCGTGTATTGCAACAGCTTGACTGGACAAGTAAGTGGAAGCATTCTAAAAAGGATTTTATCTTTAAGAAACTTTGTATTAGACTGTAAATCAACAGTTACTTCAGAAACTGTATCTAAATTCAGTGCTCAACAAACTGTATCTTATAAAGCTGTTAGCCTTTAGAATTTCTATCTTTTCAAGTGATGCCTGGCATAAACTGGAAAATAGACTCTTGTCAAAACAAGACAGCAAAACAGAGGATAACATGGAAATCCTGAAAGGCTTAGGTTGTTACTGAAGATTTCTTTCTGTGAATAGCATGAGTTATAATCCCATCACAAGTTTTCCAGATGGTTTTGGTATTAACAGGGTTAGGTACAAAGAACCATATGCTGATGAAGAAAATGAAAACAACATTGTCTTCTTCAATCAGTGGGAATAGTGGGATTACTTTTATTTCGAATTGTTCAAAAATACAAGGCTTCCTTTCATAGAGACAAAAATTAATAACAGCAATTTCTTATTATATATTTGCAACCTATGTACTACATCAGAGTTATCTGAACATCAAAAGATTCATGTGGCTGTTTGTGTATTAAACTTACTTTCAATATGCTTTGCAAATACTTCTTTGGCTGCTTTATGACTAAATTATTTACGTTATAATGAAAGACAGTATTTCCAGATCTGTGAAGATCCTGTACTTAAAACCTACACGTATTTTTACAGCAAGATGATGGTTCTACATCAATGGCCAAATGGCCAATGGCCAAACACAAAATAAAACTTTCTTAGAAAGAATTACATACATTAATAATATCGTTTTTCATAGATAATAGCTCCAGCTGACAAGAAATGGGGAGGAGTCCCAGCTACTTTAAACAATATGCTTCTGCACTGCATTTGACCAAAGGATAATAAAGAAATAGCATGATAAACGAGCTTCTGTGTTAGTATTAACAAGGTAAATTGTGTTAACAAAACCATATTCTATATTAGGACAATTTAAAGTACCAATGTGCATGATTTTTCTTTAAAAAAACCTAACATTTTTATAAAAAAAGACCAATACAAAAAAAATTATCCCAAACCACAAAAAAATGGATTAAAAAAACAACCCATAAAATAACTCCAGACCTACTGGAACACAGTGAAAATTTCCACATGGTGAACAGGAACATCAGTTAAAACTTGATGTAAAATACTAAAATACATAAGAAATATTAAGAAAGTGCTTATCACAAAATAATGCTATTATACTAACATATGGTGAGCCCTCAATGACTGTATTTTGCTTTTTTCAGGATATCCTATCCCTAAAGAAAATAACAGACATACAACATATTAGAATATGATAGGACAAATATTTAAAGGAATAATATTACTTCTTACAAACAGAAGAAGGATTAGGATTAGTTTGTTCTGAGATTAATCAATTACATTTATAAGTGGATATCACAGCTCTTAAACTCAGACTTCATGCTGCTAAGATACTCCTCATATTAAAAGAAATCTCAAAACTAGCAAAAGGACATTTTTCCAAACAAAATATATTAAAAGCAACCTTTGCCTAAAATTTTTTGTATGCACAGAAATGGATAGAGCTATGCAGCAAGACTCTAATAGCACATGGAATAAGATGCGCAGAGGGTAGCTAATAGCTGTCCTGCTAATTAAGGAGCTTACTACAGATGTATCTGATGTAGAACTTTCACTTCATTGGTTGCATAACTGTGCTTTAGTCAACACTGAATTTATTTTTTCTCTCATACAATAGAACCTTTAAAATATTTTTTTTTTCTCCCCAGATATTCCCCGAAAAGTACCCTAACTTGAGCTTGGCAAAGAAACTACATCAGTGAACAGTGTGGCAAAAAGCTTTACCAGCAAAATATTATCTGAAAAGTACCCAACATGACAGAAATTAATTAATTTGCCTGTAGATTTTCTATGTTTGTTTGTCTGTTTTTTATATTTGCAAGGGTCATAGTTCCTTGCTCTAAGTTCAGAACACCAGAGACTTTTAGGACCTACTGAGAAAAATGGACAGAAAATGTGATAAGGAGAAATATAAGTGTAAGTAGCATATGAGCAAAAGAAAAAAAAAAGCTTTAAAGTCAATGTCTTCCAGTTACGGTTTATCAGACTGGAAAGAAATTGTACAGCTCAAAGTTGGACAAAGGAAAAGGCCTGATACAGTTGGGCAGCTATGAAGACAGAAGAAATCTTGTCATAGTAGAGACCACTTTCTACATTTCACTGGAAAGAGAAGTAATTCCAAGAAAACAGTGCTGAATGTGAACACTGCCTTTGGTTATCATTTGAATATAGCATGAAAATAAACCAAGAAACAAAGGAATGACAGTATTCAAACAGGTCTTTAATCACATCCATTCCATTATTGATTATAAGAAATGTTTAATTTTATCTATTTCATTATTTTTCCCTTGAAAGCAATAACAATTTCTCTTGTTTTTTTCTTGCCTGTAACACAGTTACAGGAAAATTCAAACTAGTTTCTTGTAATCTAACTATGGCATAGAAAATTAAAAAGATAACTAGGCAAAGACATCTGAACTCTGAACCATTTCAGAGGCACGACAACTCTACAAAAACAACTCCATATTGACAAACTAGAGACCTCTGCTCTATGTTACAAATTGGAGTCTAACCACTACCATATGGATGAAAATCTTGATTCCTTAGGACTATTGATTTTGCTCCTATAAAAAGCCAAAAGTAAACAAGCATTCATACTTACTATAAGTATTTTTTTAAGAATTTATTATTTAGAGTCAAAAAGAGAAATTTTTTCTCTTCCATGGAGAAGTTCAAAGCAAGCAATTTAAAGATTATGGACTCTTTTCTTTAATCATTAGATACATCCATTTATTAACAGTTTGTACTGTTGGCTGTGTTGGAGTTAATTCATCGTGACTCATACAGTGGGTGTTTTAGATTTATGAACCAAAACATTGTGGATAATACGCCAATGTTTTCAGCTATCACCAAAAAGTGCTTGCTCATGAGTACCTACAGACATCTACCCCAGAATGTGTTGAACCATCATATGGTGGACAGAAATATGAAAGATCTTTATGCTTTTTTAGAGAAAAAACTTGATATAAAAATTGTTCCAGCACAACATCAAGCCTGATGGAATAGAGATAATTCCATCATTTAAGCCATTCAGCTTTAAAAATTCAGTAAAAAAAAAAAATTGTCTGCTATTTGAACATTACTTTTTCATTTATTAAATCTTAATTTCAAAATTTCATTTCTTAAGTCAAATTATTTTGAAAAAAACTTCAAAAATGAATAATTATAATATTAATTCATAAATTAAAAATACTTATCCAGCTTCTAAATAAGAAAAGGAAAGACAGCTTCTAATTCACTGGCAAAATATTTGGTTTAGAATTGATTATGATTGACTACTCTGTTTCAAGACTCAGCACGTTGGCCCTTGTTGTATCCAGAAAGGGATGCCTGGCCTTCCACCAAACTTCTTCTCTTTTACCTGTCTTTCTTGCATTTTATCCTTGTCTTGACAAGCTGAACACAAATACTATGAGCAGTGGTTGGTTCCCAATTGATGTTGTGTGCATGTGAAAATGTAGATGACATCAGAAGCATTCAAGCTCATTAATAATTTTGGCAGAAAATGCCAAGCACAAGCAACAATAACAATACATAAACTTTAAATCCAATATAAGTGGTCAACAGGAATTTCTAATCTCTACTTGTTTGGATTCCATTATTATGGCATATAAATTAAGCACAAAATCGACAAAGGCTTGATACTTATGGGGGGAAAATTGTTGATTAAGTCATTCTAGTGGAGACCATCTTTCAAAGGTAAGGAGAAAACACGTCAACTAAAAAATAATTTATTCCTTATATTACAGGTTTTCTCTTCTCCCCACCCAACACGCAAACATAAACTTTATTTTCTATGCCATGAAACCTAAATAACAATGTTTTTCATTTATGCTGCTGTGTAAGTTCCCCTTTACTAATAATTTACCAATTTGTTTGCAGTATACTAACATTTCCAGAAATATATCACTGAAATTTAGCCTCTCTTCATGACTGTGCATGCATTCATTATTATTCTTATGATTCAAATTTATCAACCCCAACAGAAAAATAAGCTCTGACTCAGCTTCTAAACCTTCTCTTCTGTAGGTGCATACATAAATGGTAAATTCATATTTTTTCTTATACCAAGGTAAGCATAGAAATAGTTTGGACACAAAAATTATGACACAGTAACTAAAAATTAATAAGAGAAAGCACAGAAACAATCCATAGATATTATACAATCAGCATCTGAAAGACACTTATGTTTTACTATCATACAATTTAGTATGAAAAAATAAAATATTTCAAATGCACAGTGATACAGATGTTTTCATGTGTAAACCTTTCCATATAGCACATACTCTTCAACAAATTTCAAAAATAAATACTCAAATAAATTAAAACTAATACAGATGTTTAACTATCCTACTTTTTAGAGATCCCGTTTTAACAGTTCTCAACAGAACTGAAAAGTAAATAATTTTGGAAGAATTCAGCTCAAACAATATTCTTAAGCTATTAAAAGCTAAGTTCATAGTCAAAGTTACATAGACAGGCTACCTCTACAGTGAGTGGAGAGTGCTAGGAACCATCAGAAAGTGTTTCCTCTCAGTTATCTTAGCTATAATTTTAAAACCAGAACAACTGTTCTAAGGATATTCTGAGGATATGGTTCTTGTATAGGAAGGACATGTTGACTCCACTTCTATACATGGACCTAGTTTTATGAAATAAATCTGGTCTAACTACATTTACATAATTTTGTAACCCAGGTATCACTTGGAAACTTGCACTGGGAAAAAAAAGAATCAATTATTAGACATCTAAACAGGTAAATACTGATTTTAATTTTTACCCAGGTTTCCTAAACTATTAATGAAAATAAGAAGAGTAAGCATTGTGCCCACAATTTGAACTGCTTTCAAACATAGAGTATGAAGTCCACTGATAGTTATAATACTAAATATATTACAAAAAGGTTAAAAAATTTTACTAAGGAGATATGGAAGTTATGAGAGTACATTAAAAAGTAAGAGATGCATTACCATGCTTTTCCATGCTGTAAATCTGCAAGTCCATGGACAATGACTACACATACAAGCAAATGAAAGCAGCTGACCACGTACCCACACACCTTGGAAGAGGTGCACTCCATACTCGTCGTCCACCACCAAGACAAATAACCTCTGAAGCTCCTTCTAAACGATATCCAGAAGAACAGGAGAATGTCAGAATATCTCCCACTCCAAAATTAAATCCTATTCTGTTACCAAATTGTGGGATCCCAGGATCTTCACAAGGTTCAAGATTATACTCTGAAAACAAGAGAGCAAGTCAGCTTGTACAAGTGAGAACACGTGTTCTACCAGTCATATTTGTAATCTCGCAGTCTAGTAATTTCTCTATATTTCCACCTATCAATTTCAGACTTCAGATTTTAAAACAAAATGAATGTGTGAATGTTAAATGGGCAACTATACTACATCAAAAAATAAGACAAATTAATACATTCACAATGTTTTTAAGATATGTAAAACAACATTATTTATCATTCTTGCAAGAGCCACAAGTATCTCAGGTACACAAAACAAACTAAAACAATGGCACAGCACAACCCTAAATAACTGACACTTTGGATCATCTGGAATTTCACTAGCTGAAATTAGTCTAGTTCTGTTTCCTCCCCTCACTTGAAAAGCATCTTACAGTTAGTGTACTGCTATCTTATTTATTCTGTAGCAGAAATGTGTCTTCTGCCTCTACAGAGACAGAAAGGTTTGCTTGCTTTGAAATTATTGTGCTTAGGAAACAACTTATATATTTTAATTATTCAGTATATGTATTCATCAAAATCACTTAAATTTTTAACCTTTTTTTCCTTTATATAAAATACAGAAAAAAAAACCCAACCCAAACCACCAACTTTTTCAGGAGCCAGTTATTACAGGTATGTCCTTACCAGAGAAAGAAATATTAAATCCTTCATATGATATTGAAAAATCTGAAATAAAGCGCAATTGAGCCCTGAAATTTCCATAGAGACCAGCATTGATTGGTGAAGGAAGCTCTGAGCCAGTCAGACGTGCTAATGGCTGTGTGAAACTGCCATTCTCTGTTATTAGTAAGTAGTCATGGTGATCCTCCAGGTGAAAGGTGTAGAAGGTGAACTGTACTCCTATTAGAAAAAGTAGAATTAGATTTACATATCACCCTATTAACATCAATGTAATTAAACTAAGGTTAAAATTCATGCATTTCATTATTGCATTGTTCAGAAAATTAGGATAATCTAAATTTTCTAAAAATTAGTATCTCTCCAGATTTTAACGTTAAAATATCTTTGCAAGAGGTCTTTTTGTTTTGACATCACTTTCACTTTTGCCTTTAACTGCAAAATACGGATGTTTGATATCTAGAATTCAAAGACATATGCTTGAATTTTTGTGTAAAATCCAATGATGCACTATGTATGCTCAAAACTATAAACTGTTTATGGTGGAATGGGAAAGATTAACCTTATTTCTTACAGTCACCAGTAGCCTTGCATAGCAGCAGTGAAAGGAAAGGTTATAAAATACATCACATTATATTCTAATGGCACATACAGTAGCAGCAGCACTTTCACATAAAAAAGGGAGGTCTCTTAATAAGATGTTGCATATGTCAACAGTATGATTTTTTGCCAACTATCAGACATAAATCACACATTTAGAAAGGAAGATATATCATAATAACACCATAGCAATAAAGAGACTTCAAGATCAAGACAATTAAATCACTTTTGCATTTTTAACTAAGAATTAGACCATGATCTCTGAGTAGAATGCACAGAAAAGCCAAGAAAAAGAAACAGGGGAATCCATTAGCTAATTTAAGTGATTACTGAGACCTCAAGTGTAATATCATTTTCAGTTTTATCATGACAGTTATAAACCAATGATTCAGGCTCTGTCAAATATATCTGATGATGTTATACTTAGTAAGATCCATTCATATGATTGCAGATTAACATAGTAGATGAAGATCTTTGGGTATTCTCATGTACAACAGATTTTTAATATCAGACATATTTTAATGAAAAAGCAAACAAATATTTCCCCTTCCTACAACCCTCAACACTGCACCACTCTCCCTCCTCCCACCACCACCAGTTCCCAGTTGCCTGAACAAGGTAACAAAACCCAAGCTACATATACTGTGCTTGACTCAGTTGTCTAAGCATAGAAACCTCATGACTTCACATGCAGCTTTAGAAGCTCTCAGCACAATTGTCTTATAGTGGGGTTTTTTACAGTATTCTTGAGGTTGTCTGAATTGCATTAAATATTTACGTTAATACAACTCAATCACACCTAAGAAATACAGCTTGTAAGGGTATCTGGAATGTAAGGACACTTGGTTTATGAACATAGCCAAGGACCTTTCAGTACAGGAAGTAAAGACAAGAAATGAGGGAAGTAATGAATGGTATACACACATGCATAAGCTTCAATGAGCAGAATTTAGCGGAGATACTAACAAAGACCAGAACTCTTCAGTTTCTCATTGATGAGAAATTAAATGTATCACTGTAATCTTAAAGCTCTTCAGTCAGAACTTGGTAAGTAATTATAATGGAGGAAAGAATATTGCCTTGGGTCTCACGAAAATTAGAATACTGTGGAGTATTAGAGGGAATTTGTGAGATTATATAAAAGTGAAGATGAGATTTTTTTTAAATGGAAGTCGGAGACTGCAAAACTTTTTGTGGGATGTTGAGGGCCAAAGGAAGATAACAGTGTGGATCATGCTAGTTAAGAGAGAAAAAAGTGTGGGAATAGAGATAGGGTTAAGCCTCTCTCACTAATCCCTGCACCTAACCACTGTAGCCTGTCCTCTATTACTTTAAATCTCTGTTCCTGACTAGTGTGCAAGTGTATCTTCTGTCCAGAGTGTGAGCACATGTGTGACCACTAGTGAACATTAGTATGGATTGCCTGGTGAGCAGAATGAGACCAAGGCCCAACTGGAAAAAGGGCCATTGGTCACAGGGTGGGCAGCACCTGGTAGGAGTGGGATCTGGGGTCCAGCTCCTGGGTCAGCATATGGAAGGTTGTGGGAGCACATGCATGTGCGTGAGTCTGTGTCACTTCTAGCAAACTCCTTTTCCCATCAACCCAAACGCAGAGACAGGATTTGGTTGCCTGTGGTTTTCATGCCTGTTTCAGGGCTGTTGGTGTTTCTGTGGGTGCCAATAAGACTCTTGCCTCTATCTGTGTTAGACTGTGTGACCAGCCATCCATACGTATGTAGATATTGGCATCTTTGGAATACATGCTTAGTCTTGTTATCAGCTGGATATACAGATGGAAGCAATGAGAGAAATCCCTTGGATCTTGGAGACCTCTACCTATCTATGGAGACCTTTTAAAGAGATTCATCCTTTTCAAGTAGACGTCTCCTTCTCTTCTTTTAACTCCACACACATCACATACTCCACCAGACCCCAAAAACCACATCCTTACTTAGAACTGATATAGAAATTACCAGATGGGATTGTATTTTCTGCTTAGGAAAAAAAAGTTATCCAAATAACTTGCACTGGATTTTAAAAATTCTTAATTTACTAACTACATGAGCAAAGCAATTCATCTGCTTTGATCACCCTTTTTATTCTCCCAGATTGTGTGACAATAAATTGGCAAAAATCACACACAGAATTTTGGAATTGAGATTAGGTTGCATATCTTTCGAGCTAATGTATATAAATTTAGATTTGGAATTGATAAACTCTTAAATGTCTGGGGATTTTTAACTTATTTTTATATAGGATCAGTGCTGATCCGACATGAAAAGAGAGCTCTTAAAAAACTCTGAGATATATACAGAATGAGAGGTCATATTTGTTGTGTGTATTGCACTCCAAGTTAATTTTGGCCTCTTTTATGCATGCAAGTATACTGCCACAACAAAATCAGAAATGCCAAAGAAAATTTCATGGTAGTAACCCAAAATAATGAAATTCCTGTGAATCACAGCTGAGTTTCACTGAGTATTGTTCAAACACCAAACTCAAGGTTTAACTCAAGGGAATGTTTCAATCAATTTTCCACATTGCCACGACATTTCTAAGCAAAACCCAAAGGTATATCCCAGCAGTAGTAGTACAATTTATTTTTCTTTCGAAAATATTCTAATCACATTAATATATGCTGTGTGACAGATTGTGTCTTCTCCTGGGAAGAATTTTAAAAGATATGCTCAGGTAGATTCCTTCTTATTCTGCCTCACATGTCCCTTTCTTTATAAGGGGAATATTTAAAATCTGAAATGAAGACAGGAAGACATAACACTCTAAAATGTCACTTCTCAATATTACAATCCAGACCGTTGGGGGATAGGTAAATTAACTGTTCTACTAATAAATGGTGTAAAACATACCACTGATACTCTACAGATTTCATTTCACCATATATTGAATTGCATGCTAATTGCAGACAAAATGTAATAATTATTGCCATGATAGACGTTTCCTTTCCTCTTCATAAATAATAGCAATTAATAGAATATTAACTATATTTAAAACACATGTTCCATTCTCTAGCTAACAAATTTTTAAAAAAATAAAAGAAAATTGTATCAAATTTTAATGGAACTCAAGAATCATCATGCTTGTTCATATGAACACAAATGAAAAATCATTTCAGAATTCTAAAACTTTAGATACATTTGTAAAAGAAAAATTAAAGCCACATATATTTATATTGCATATTATGTTATTTAGAACAGCATATACAAACACAGAAACTGTTTTTCCTAGGAATACATTGTATCCAGATGTAAAATAAACATTTTAACTAAATCTATGCATTTAAATGCCTGTTATTATGTAATAGCAGCAAATAGCTGTAACATAAAGATGTTTCCAGCAATTCTTTGAGCAACATAAATCAAAATGCCTAAGTCAAATTGCAACATTGCATTCATACTTCGTGTTTTTCCTTAACATTTTCCTTAACATTTCCATACGATAATGTAAAACTTATAGAATCATAGATCATCCAGGTTGGAAAAGACCTCTAAGATCATTGAGTCCAACTTCTAACCCAGCACTGCCAAGTCCAACCCTAAATCATGTCCTTCATGTCCCACATCTACATGTCTTTCAAATACCTCCAGGGATGCCACTTCCCTAAGCAGCCTGTTCCAAGGCTTGATAACCCCTCCTGTGAAGAAATCTTTTCCCAATGTCCAATGTTTAGCACTTTAATATCTTTCTTGTAGTGAGGGGCCCAAAACTGAACTCAGGATTTGAGGTGAGTCCTCAATAGTGCTGAGTACAGGGGGACAAATACTGCCCTGGTCCTGCTGGGACACACCACTAATACAAGCCAGGATGCTATTGGCCTTCTTGGCCACCTGGGCACACTGCTGGATCATGTGCAGCCACTGCCAACCAGCACCCACAAGTCCCTTTTCCACTGAGCAGCTTTCCAGGCACTCACTCCCCAGTCTGTACGTTGCATGAGATTGAATGAAACAAGAATGCAATTGTATCAGTATTGGTGTGTGTATATATATCTATGTGCTTATAGACGCCTATGTTTGTACTATTACTGTCTTTCCCTGTATATTTTATTTCTGTATTTTTTTTTCTCAGGAGGCCATTATATATGGTTGGGTTTATTAACAGCTTCCTATAAAATGTCATAATTTTGAGAATTCCAGCTTTTATTAGTCTCAACTTTTAAGTACTTCTTTAGCTGAGATTTTTTAAAAAAAGATAAATCACAAAAAATTACTTATTTTCTAAAAAAAACCCCCAAACTTCCCAAACTTTTTTTTCATAATCCCATTTTTAATTTAAGAAAAATCAAAGTGTTAATAAAATGTCTTACAAGAATCCTGGAAAATGTGGCTTAATCTGAGCTCATGTTTACTGTAGAATTCACAAAATTTTCTGTCATGAATTACTCCATGAAGCTAACCTCTTATCCATCTGTGCTACCTGTCTTCAATTCTCAGATCATAAAGTTTGTGCTGGTTAACCAATGGCTTTTCAGACAGGGTGCAAGATAAATTACTATAGATCTAACAGTTTCTTTACACTTTCCATAAGTCTTTCTTGCTTATCCAGAAGAACAAAAGATCCACAGTACCTTATGTTCCTGCAACTCTAAAAGTCATGTATCATTCCTAGAGGTAACAAGGGCAAATGTAGCATTTGATGTAGGATCAGTAATTTCAGGATGCTTTTTCACTGTGGATATTTAGAATCAAATTGACACAATGGCATCACTTGGTAGTAAGAGAGACTATGGAACAGCTGGAGCAATAATTTTGGAGATACACTTTGCCACTTTAACACTTTAAGGAGTATTGAATGGGACAACCAGTCAGAGTGATTTAACATCTAGATGAAGAACTATCATACTATTTGTACAAAATGGAATAAGGGGATCACAGATCAGCACAATTCTCTGTATCAGTAGTCTTATTTTTACGCTATCAATAACTCTTACTTAGAGGAATACATCATCAGTATACTTTGCCACATTTTTCATCCCCCCACAGAGAAAACTGATGAAATTCAGGATTAAACTTGTCTTTCTTCTTCTCCCTTTCATTTTTTTCCTTGTATTCTTTCCAGCATTAAAATGTAACTCTCCTTTTTGTGTTCTTACTAGCTTATTCTGTGCTCAATTTCTCTTATGGTGCCTACTTTTATTTTTGTTCTTCTGTAACATTAAATCTTATACCTCTCTAGCTCTTTTCACGCATAGTACAAGAGTGCTATACAGTCAGTCCCATATTTAACATAAAATACCAACAAACCTAAAAGTATGACCCACCTCTTCTCATCTAGTACCATACCGTTTCACCTGAAAGCAACTAGGACATATTGTTTCTAGGAAACTTTGCTACCTGGAAATACCAGCTTCCATTTGTGTCCTAAGTGTTTTTAAGCTCTCAGAGAAGAGTTAAAATCAGTATTACATCTTTTTCCTGAAATCTCCCGTCAACAAATAACCACCTCTTTCTTAAAAGCCTCCAGGCCTTCAGCTTCTGTGATCAGTCATTATATAATTCTTTCTCATTGACTTTCCATCTTGTGGGAAGCATAAGGGCCTACTCCACTTATGGAATTCTAGGAGCTACTGCAATAAAAATAAATGAAACTACAAATCAGCAATGCAATTCTAAGTGCTTTGCTGCTAACCTAAGTCTACATCTATAGTACATAATACTGGACTTAAAAAAAACACAAGGTGGAAGTAGAGAAAAGGATTTATTTACCTTTGCCATGGGTAACATCCACAGTCCATGTGCAATTCAGTGAATTTGGATATAGATCAGGATAACCTGGTGATAAAATTGTTCCACTAGGTCCTCTAACATCTCCACCACATAAAGCTAGAAAAAACAAAGAAAAATAATAATAATAATAATAACAATAATAATAATAATAATAAATGATGAATAGAAAAGTTGCAGATGAGGGAAAATGGAACAAAACAAATTTTTAAAAAATTCTGATTTTAAAATGACTTAAAAGTAGTTGCTCGAATGATTTAGCAATTTCAGATAGAACTACAGGTCATTTTTACACAATATAAAAAGAAATACAATCAATTAATAAATAATATGTGTTTAATAGACATAAGAAAATGGAAATCAAGTTTCCTTGGCTATTTTTTCATGTTTTCTGGAGACTATGAAAGTCTTAACGTCAGTAGAGATGAAAGCAGAAAAGACAGAGCCAAACAATATTACTTGAGCCAGAAACCAAGGCTGGAGATTTAAAATGGCGTATAGTGGATCTCACCACTGAAGAATTACTTAATTAAAATATTTTTGCAGGAAAGCATGACATGCTTTCTTGTATATAATTATTGGATATGTATTTATATCTATAATGCAAGTGATAATGAAAAGTGTCAATATAAGAACAGGCTTTTACATAGTTTCAATAGACACTTCATAAAAATAATTGGTAATTGAGCAACAGAAAAATTAAATTACAGTTTGAATTAATGCAAAATACAAAAACTTGGTAATTACAACACTGGTAAAAGTAACGTCACAATTATATTTGAACGGTTGATTTTCCATTGCAGAACTTTTAAAATACAAAATTAATGACTAATTTTTAGTAATGAAGAGTCTTATACCTTAGAATTATCATATATCAATAACAGTGATTAATATTCAGTACTGAGCAAGTTATTACATCATAGTTCTCTGAATATAGATTATCTCAGAAGGGCATATATTTTAAGACAAATGAGGAGTTCTATTTTTTTTTGTTAAGATTAAAAATATCTATTCCTTTTATTTTTCTTGGCCTAATTATATGCATTACCAGAATTATTTTGTAGAAATTGTTTAGGATAAAGACAAACAGTGAATTATGTTACTGTCACCAGTAGGTCAAATAATATAGACTGTTTTAGAAAAACTGATTGCAGTTCTTCATATGAGCAGTCCTTCCAAAGTATTTAACACAATCTCTTCCTTTCCAGCCATAAGTAGTCAAACAATGTCCTTTCAGAATTTTTATTGGTGTCAGCCAAAGTTTCTTTGAGCCCTTACCTTAATCTAAGCCAGTATTCAGCATTCCTGTATTTAACAGTAAGATTTTCTCTCTAGCAGATCTTAAAGCTCTTGAAAGGCAGTTTTAGAGATATGCAAGTGGCAGCTACTTTTCTGTTATTCCAGTCGATACCACCATCAATCCCTTTTCTCCTAGCTGTATAAACTGTCATTCACCTATTTATTGCTCATGTCTGTGCTTCTCACCCTGCTGCCACAGCAATGAGAATGAGGGAAGGATCTTGGCACAGGTTGGAGGAGCAATGCCTCTTTCTGAGAGATGCTGCCCCACCTGCACTAGCTGGTTTAACCTGCTCCTACTCCTTCTGTAACATCAAAGCAACTGGTAGTGCAGCACTCAACAGTATGAATTGTAAAAGTGAGAGAAGTTTGGTCTTTCAGTATGTGCTCAAACATCTACGTATTTCTTCAGGAGGAAGGCGTTGTGTAATTTGTTACATCATGCTGTTTCTTCTGCTATATCTTGATATTTATTCTACTTATGGCAATTTCTGCTATACATTGGTGGGTAAATCATGCGCGTTATACCCATTTTTGCCTTTGCTATTAACATTACATATTTGAGAATGAATATGTTGACATCATCATTTTCTGCTTGTAGAGGCACATTCAAAACTGATTTGAGGGCAAGCCAGACAGTGAATCAAGAGAATGTCTAGAACCTTCTGTCTACCCTGTACCTAAGCAGACATTTGTCTCAATGAGACATATGCATTTTTCAGAAATTTTAGTAGCACTGTGGAATGTTTTCATAAAGATCAATAATTTTTCATAATGAGGTTATGGCACTGCATGCCATCACTCTCCCTAGGGCACTGATTGAAAAGAAGTATACATGTAATTACAGTTTTCTTATACATCAGAAATGGAATTTCATCCTGTATTCTAGGATGAAGACTGTCCTATTTTGCCTTAAGTTTGTTTGGTTGTTCTAACTAACTATATTTCTGTTTTAAACATGCTTATTTGTCTGGATAGCCTCATGATTGTTTTCTATGTACTATTTCTCTTGCCAGCATTCTGGAATTTTGGCCTAGTTGTAAGCTAAAAATTTACAAATCCATAGGCTGAAATAGGACATTCTAAGACCACAATTGCCCAATCTCTTTATTGTTGCCACAGGCAAATAACTTCCATCCATATTAATTTTCCTCCTCACTTCTGATGAAGAGACAGTGAAGGTAAACAGTGCCCACTTATCACCTGATCTTGCTATATTTAGACATTAGCAAAACAGAGTCATGGCTGTGATAGCATGTTACTGGAGCTTCTGATGGTAACTATCTACTTTGTCTATTAAATAAGAAAATCAGTTTTTATAAACGTGGGAAATAGACCAAACAAAAATATATTTTACAGTGGGTGTTTGGAAAACCTTTCAGGAATGCAAATGGTGATAAAACATCCATGGCATGCCATCAGACAGTGTAACTCTAGGCTAGCAGATGGCAAAAAAAGGCATCAAGGACCCAGCACTTTAGAAAATAAAGCCAAGTTGACAAATCTGAAATAGAAAATGTGCACTGGCCCCAATAAGATGGCAAACAGCCCAAGCATATAATATCAGTACTAGTATCGGGTTGTTTCAGAGTGCAAAGGAAAACAGAAAGACATGAAAATAAACACAGAAACAGCAAATGATAAACATATATATTTCCAGATTCTATAAGAAACCTTTCTTTCACTTTATCTGATTATACAGCAAAAGTAGAACGAATTCTTGAGCAAGTAACTGAAGCACTATTTTGGAGTTCTTATGTGGAAAATGGAATATTGTGTTGTTAACACACTAACTAATAATTTCTTTTTTATGCAAGCAGAGAAGCTGAACTAAGATATGCCTAATTTTTTGCCTCCACTACAATGTTTTCTAAATAGGGAGAAAAAAGCCCTAAAATAATAATTAAAACAAACAAACAAACAAAACCAAAAAAACCCACAAAAAATAAAGAGAACAAAATATAAAAGAGACTATGAAATACAGATATGTACATAGGAATACATTAAAAAGTACTTCTACAGCACTCTGGTGATCAGAAATGATGTGGCAATTTAATAAGCAAGTCTTAGATAACCATGAATGAAGATTCTAATTTAATAGTGGAGTTCAGTGACTACATCAGTTGTTCAGCTGAAATAAATTCTTACAATGTTGTGTTGATTACTTACACATTCTGTTGTTGTAAATTATTTTGCTCAGTAGCATGATCAATCACAAAAAAGAGTGACAGCAAGCAAGTCTAACTTAGAAATTGGCCCTATATAGATGGAAAATAATTTTTGGCCCAAATAGGTTCAGAAACTTTAGTCTGACTACTCATAAATGTCTCATTGGGAGACACATAGGCCATGCTTCATCCCTCAAATACATGAAAAATTGTAGTGAAAACACTTGACTTGTGTCATTCATAAAATTGCAAAATTCCATTTCAGGTCATATTTTATGCTACTATAAAACTGCTAAAGGAAATCAACCTTGCAATACTAGAAATAGTCTTATAATCTCTAGCCTAAATTAATTTATGATCTATTTTTACCCATTTGTTCTTCTACTAAACTGTCATTATGTTCTATTCCCTCTTCAGGTCTCACTTTGGAAAGCTGGCAAACTGCATAAGAATCTATGATTTTGGATCTTTTAAGTGAGACAGGTTTTCTTAATCTACTTCTGTAAGTAACATTTTCCATCTCTATGACCACTATTAACAATTGCAAGTTCTTATCAGTCTGTCTTGTCTCAGCAGCTATATTACAGAAACATATTGCTAGGACGCCTCACATTAGATTATGACATTTTTGTTCATAGATGTTTGGGGTTTTTTTTTCCATTTTCCTTTCACATATTCTCTCTTCCTGCAGTCATCCTGTATAGCTAGCTTAAAACTTATCCACAGAAAACCCTCTTAAATTTTGTTTTTATACCATTAAATAAAACTCAGCAATTATGCTCTCTGACACCTGAGATCTATGAATACAATTTACTATCTATTTAAAACGAATTTATTTTGACAAAATACCAGTCAGTCTCAGAATTTGTAGAGTATAGCAAGAATATGAAATTTCAAGAAATCTAGATGTGAGAAGAAGGGGGTCATCATATCCAAAAAGGACAGATAAGTATCAAGAGAATGTATGAGTTATTTTAGTAAAACAGGTGAAAATAATAAAGATATATATAAAAATAGGTACAAACATATAGAAATGCATTTATTTCTACAAATGGTGTTAACAAGTAATGCAGTAAAAAAAAAAAAAAAGCCATAATATTTTACCTTTTTAGTCTGATTGAAGATATTTTGGAAGTTAACATTTTCCACATTTTCAATTTATATCAACTATCATCAACTATCACTTTCTTATATAAAGATTTTTCAAGAGGCTAGCCATGGATTACTAAACACAACTTAGACAGTAACATACAATGATGCACCTCAATTTTCTCAGAAAAGAGAAAATATTCATAAGAAGAGAAGCCTTCAAAAAAAAAAAAACACCTTTTTTCAGTAGGTTCAGTTTGTTGTAAGTACAAATAACTGAAAACTATTTGTTTTTCAGAGGTGATGGGAAGAGAAAACACACAATTTTAATTGATTAGTAATAATGATTAGTTTTGGTTTTCAAGTATCATTGAAAAAGACTAATAACATGTTCTAGTTCAGAAAGAACCACAGAGAAACACAAAGCAAAACCTATTTATAAGTAAATGTGTTTGTGTATATATAATTCCAGATACGAATATATATGTGCACAAACACACAGAGGCCTCATTACATTCATTTGCTTAATTAACTCTAACTTCCAACTAAAAATGTAATTCTAGGGTGGTTTTCATTTATTGTGCAATTCGATAATAAAAGTGACATATAAAACATAGTTTAAAATTATTGAAACAGTGAATTAGATTTTGAATCTTGTATACTGTACTTCCTAGACCAAGAAACTTCGGCATTTGTCTTCCCTAATTACAGAAGATGCAATCTTACAACAGGATGCAGTTCAGTAGTGGTAAATTAACAATATGGACATCAAATTATCATAATCAGCTTCCAGAAAGAAACCTTGGACTTGAGTTATAATACACAAGAGATTATTTAATAGAAACTAGTGTAGCTTAGATTACTCACAATATAAACTTGCATTTTTACTCTCTTACTTAAATCTAAAATAGACCAAGATATGTTATCCATTTCCAGTTTTGGCCTCTACCACATTGAATATTTGCAGCAGGTTTTTTAACAGCTGTATTTTAATAGAAGTATTATTTTTATCTTAGGCATGTCAACAGAAATTACATAACATCTCTTCTCTGCCATATTTCCTGAATAAGTTCCTCATGGTACTGCATAAGTCATATTTCTTAATTCGTTTGGGCATCTAGGGGTTTCCAATAAAAACATTAAATGTTTTCTATCTTGCTTGAATATTTTTCATTCTATTTATTAATTTTCTTAGGTAAATGAAGATCAGGTGGAATGACAATATTTATTTTTAATTCAAATATTGAATAAGTATTATATCTATTAGAATTCACTTTCATGTTATGATGAAGGGAATAAAAAGTGCTTTACACTCTTAATTAGGTATCTAACTTTTACATTATTTTACCTGTAATTTTTAATGAGATTAATACAATAATTCATATATTGAGTAAAATAGGTTTTCTCATATCTATTCAAAGCTTAAAAGCAAAATTCTCTTATAATATTCATACAGAGAGAACATGATAAGACAAAATTTTTAGTGAAGAATTGGAAGGTGATTACAGTCAAGAAATTCAGGGCTTTCCAGATATATAGGTACACAGTGTATCATATGTAGTTGTTAGACAGGAATGGTATAAATGTAATACAAGCAATATTTTCTCAGTAAAGCTCAAAACAATCTATTTTAATTCTTTTTTTTTTGTGATGTTTTTCTGTGCAACATCCAAACACATCATGAATAGAATTTAATGAATAGAATTTCAGTCAACACCATCTTCTACTCTGAGGAAGAACTTGTTCTAAGTCTAATTTTTTTTTCTTTTCTACATACTTCTCCTCCAAAACTCACACACACATGATAATTATCAGGGTCTGTCTCCATATTACTACGTGATGTAGCAATTATAAAAAAGGTATGCAATTATCAAAAAGAACAATCAAAAAAGAATTCTGCTTCTCAGAAACCATCAGAGTAACATATTTAATGAGCAGTAGGAGCGACTGATGTGTTTGTTGGTGGCATGATTAATACAAACCCATGCTCGCAGTTTATGTAAAGAACAGAACATTTAGCAAATGTCCTTTTTTTCCTGAGGGTGCAAGGACTCTGAATCCTATTAAAAAACATTCTACCAGAGAAGAAAATCAGCAATGAAGTTAAAATTATTTCAACCATTAATTGATTAAATTTGGTAGAATAAATGTACTTAATCCTACCTTCAGAGCATATTTATTGAATGGACAATTGCCATTTAGTAATGTGCTCTGGAGAAAAAACACCACATCATGTACTTAATGAATTGCATGCTTGTTCAGCATCTTTAAGAAAAAATTTATGACAATATGTAAGTTTATTAACAACAGAGCACAGTATTCATAGCAAGTGTGTTAATACTGGGTTTTTTCACCCTGTTACCACCTAGTGCCTATCACCATGAGAAAACACATCCTAATTTTATGGCCTATTCAGCAAAGTATAGTCCCCTTGACTGCAAACTGCAGGTACCCTGTAATTCTTCATTTCAAAGCCTGAGTGAGATGCAGAATCTCTTAGGAAATGGGCTTGTATAACTACAGAGTGTCATTTTCAGGAAAGTGATTATTCACACCCCTTTTTACCACCACAAGTTTTAAGTATCATTATATACTGACACTTTCAACTTACTGAAATATAAAAAACCAAAGAATTTCCTATCCAGGCAAACTGAAGACCAAGAAAATCCTTACCATTTTTTAAAGAAAGAAATATATTGAAAATGAATAGATTTCCATATGGCAAATCACACATGGATCAGTGAACTTCTTCATCAGTCCTCATTCAGATTCATCTTTTTCTTTCTAAATGAGTGTCCTGAGACACTAAGAACTGTTTTAGAAAAATATACTATCATGTGCATTCTGTAGCTCACAAAAGTTCAGGAGACTTTTTTTGTTCAATACTACCTTAGAATTAAATGGTAATGTTAATCGTGACAGAATTTTCATCATCAGAAAAACATGTGCCGTGCTCCAAGCAAGAAAATTATTTCAAGAAGTAAACATCTCAAACAACACAACTTAATGAACATTACAATCTACTTTCTTAATATTACATACAATTGATATCAGCCTAAGTGGGAAACATTAAAATGAACAATTCAGATTACAAGAGATGACTGAAAATATTGGATAATTTTTCAAGCAGAATTTTTAATGATATGGTGGAGACCTGTTACTCAATCCCACTTTTGCCTGGTTTAATAATCATATGCTTAATGATCAGGTATAATGTGGCCCTAATAAATTCCTATAGTGATAAAAAGGTGTCAGGTTCTGTTACCAAGCTAGAAACACAGTCATCAGCATCAAACAGGAGGAAACGCTCATCTTGAGTCAGGTATGAATAAACTTCATTCCATGTTTTGTATGTCAGCACACCTGTGTCCATAGATGGGTACCCAAACACAAATATTTGTACTTTGTAATGAGTGATTTACAAGCAGATATACATTAACTTTGCAATCAGCTCACAGCAACATACTTTTAGATAGACATATCTTCAGTAATCTGCAGAGCTAAATAACTATATATCATTCTCTGCTTTAATGGTTATATGTCTCATCACAGAGTTATATAACATTTATTTCCTCTAAGTATTCTTTTTGCCTAAAAACAGAGGTTTTCCAAGCTCCAACATTTAACTCATTGTGGTTATCAATAGTTTAGTAAAATCCGTATATTTTAAGGTACTCTGTATTTAATCCATTCATCCTTACCGTCACAAGTTGGGAGGGGGTGACTCCACCAGTGATTTTTTTCACATAGCAAAGGTTCCTCATGACTCAGCCTATAACCTGGATCACAACTAAATGAGACAGTGGAACCTATAGAGAAGTCATGTCCATAACGACGTCCATGCACTGGTATGCCAGGATCCAAGCAAGAGTAAGTGTTAACAGTTACACCTAGATTAAAAAAAAAAAAAAAGGAAAAAAAAAAAGAAAACACAAAAAAAAAGGTAAATAAACAACTGATAGATTTTTTTTAAAATTCATTTAAGTAATTGATTGTGCTGTGAGTGGGGGTGAAGGCATCATTATCATGCATTTACAGTGAATTATCTTTGCACTGTTTCTCTCTGTTACCATTATAAGATTCTATGGATAATGACTTGCATCCTGCCACTGCTGCAGAGAAAAATATAGGATATTTAGTTTTATTCTATCTCAGTAACATTAAATGATTTTGTACCTCATGCTGATGTTGAAAAGCTTTGATGATCACTCAAAATCCTGATTTCCAGCCTTTATTTTTTCTGGATCAAAATTTGTTAGCATAGCTAAAGTGATTTTCATTTCTTTTGATATTGATCCTTGGAATATTTACATAGATAAATTATTTACATAAATAACTCTCATACCTAGTGCTATTTGATATATGAGACATTAAGAAGACAAAGAATAGCAGAAAATAAAGAGAAGTTGACTTGAGAAAGGAAATTTCAATGTGTGCTAAAATATTAAACCTTTTAGATTATTTCCCAGTGAGAAGTTCATACAAAGAAATTCATTATAAAATAATCATGAGAAAAAAAAAAACCTCTAGGAATAATAGTGAAGTACAAAAATTATAAGTATTCAGTGTTAAATTTTTTATGGGTTTTATTCTTTTCATTCCTACAGAGAAGTCATAAAATATCCTTTCTTACAAAGAAATTCAGTGTGAAAAGAAATAATTAGCATAAAAGATAAGAACATATAAAAGACCTCAGCTTTCACTACAATATATGAAGGGAAAAATGATGAGGAGGGGACCATTAGTCATTATTATTCCCAAAAGGGGAATCAGAATTGGGTTGTACTGGATAATAGAAGATGAGATATCAGTAAGAATTAAGAAAAAATAAAATTAATATTAGATGTCTATGTATAAACAGGGGCTATCACACAGAAAAGCAACCACTGAAAATTGTTTATTTTGTGTACAAATGGTAAGTGCATATTTTCAATGTTCTCTGATATCATAACTTTAAATTTTAGTCTCCACTAGTGTATAACGTTAAAAAAACTGAAAATTATTTGGTGGTAGTTCCAACAAGTTGTATGAAACAGAAATGGACAGATAACAATGTGCTTATGACCTTTACTAAGCAAATCAGATAGTGATTACAGTAGAAATATTGTTTCTCTTAAAAATCTTAATTATTTCAACAAAAGTTATATTTAGAAATGAAAAAAGTAAATTGAATTAGGATATATAAACTTAAATGAATTTTAAGAATTCATAAAGTATGAAATCTTACATATACTTTCTTCAGTTTTGCTTATACTATTGTAATAAGGGCAAAAGAATACTTCTATATCAGAAAAAATCACATAGGTAGGTTTTTACAACCCTTAAAATCCATAAGCAAGCAATTGCATAGCTTGGTTTTCAGCTCATTAGTGTAAAGTGCATTTCGCCTTACCTTCAGTTAGAGCTGCAGATACATCAATCAGAACAGCAATTCAATTATTTGCTTAGATTTCCATAATCTTCATAATCTCATGCAGTTTTACACATACAAAAATGTATTGTATAAAATATAAAAATATCAAGCCTTAAAACAGCATGCAGAAGAAAGGCATTTGCTTCCCATTCTCATCTTTTCATTCTTAAAGCACAGAGTAGTACATCAATGACACTAAATTTTAAGTAAAATTAGTGGTCATCACTTTTGCAGTTTAACATCACTAAATCTTTCTCAGATTGAGAAATAACAGGAAATTACCAAAGATGACATCTGTAAATCTTTATATATTTATGATGAGAATAAGCATTGAGATGGAGGTGAAATCAAATAATACAGTACAGAATTACTTACTTTCATAGTGAATCTTGAATCCATTGTTAGAACGACTGTTATCAGTTGTAAAGAGAAGATAAATAAAATTGCTACTGCTAAACAGAAATTGGGGGACCTGGGTACCATTGTAAGATCCCAGAAGTGGAGATAATAAGTTTGGTCCATCATGAACTTCCAAAACATCATAATTGAGTTCGGTCTGAAATCTGAAATCGAGGAAACATCCAGAGGCACAAATTTAAAGAGACAGTTACAACAAATTCAGTAACACCATATTTTAAAACTATGCTCCTTCCCTGATAATATTTTTTCTCCACATATCGATTTTACAATATCAATGCAATAATATTAATTATCCTATATAATTAATATAATAATAAAATTTCAGGTTAGTGGCTTAGCAAGATAAGAAATAAGTTTAAACTCCTTGAGCTGGTTTGTATTGCAGGAAAAAAAATCCAGAAACACAGTTTGTTAATAAAGATTAATATTATTTACATATGTTATTTTAAAACACAAAATTATGGGGTCTTTTTGAATAATTAAGTAAATTATATGGAGGATATGTCGATCTATTCTTTTAGTTTATCTCTTCTATTTTGCACAAATATCATCAAGGTACTTTATGTTATCAAAGAATCATACTCTTGAATTTCTACTCTTAAAATCCTCTATAAGTAGCGATAGAATTATTTGAGTCTGCACTGAGATTCCAGTGGTTTTATGCCAGCTGAGATTCAGTCCAAAGTGGTGACAGAAGTTATGGGGAAATAAAAAAACAAACCTACAACTAAAAATCCCATTTAGAAAGTAACAGAAAACAAGACCAGTGTGTAAAGACAGCATGTGTGCTGTCCTTGTCAAGGAAAAGCTGTGTGACAGTGCTGCTAGATATCTCCTTGCTTGTCTTGTTTTAGAAGCTATCAGCAATCTCAAACTCCTGTTTGGTATTTTGGCAGTGGTTTCTCTCTTTCTTTCTATGACAGACCTTAGATCAATCATACTGTTCTATAAGGGACTCTGGTGGATTATTGAAAAATCCTTACAGAATTAAAAAGCAACGATTAACAGCAGGATCTTACAAGCACCCTTCAGATATTCTTAATTCTCTCTCTGATTTACTTAGAAGCCTAATTGGGCTTTGTGAAATTCATTCAAAGAACTGCATGACTAATGCCAATGCACTGAGGAAGTCAATATTTCAGTATTTATGTCCCAAGAGTCTGAGCCTTAAAATGTAAAGGAGTCTGGCAAAAGACGAGAAGACAAATTAAACCTCCAAAACATGTGTTTTCTTCTATCAGTGTTCCACTCACACAAAATAACATTTAAAAGAGCACAGAAATAAAGTAATAGGGAGTTACAGAAGTGGGACAATCCTAGAAGGAGGACAACTGAATATTTCGTGTTTTGATAGTTCCCACGTGAACTCAAAGTGATATATTGCTAAAAACCAATAATTTGTTTTTTCTAATATTTTTTCCCAGTAATCCATACAAAATAGAAGAAATCTTGGAAACAGATCATTTAGTCTTGTTCTGCTTTCTTAGCCCCTTTATCAAAAACATACTTGAGACTGAAGGTATAAAAAGGCATGGACCTTACAAATGTAATGCAGCCATCAGGCTAGTCAAGTCATACTGAAATTAAGTTGAATCTCCAAAGACATAAAAGAAATCCTCTTGTAAATACTTTGTGTTCAAAGACTACATACACCACCACAAACAGTAGAAAAATACAGTGATGAAAAAAATGAATAATCACCTGACAAAAAAAATTAAGAACCATTTTTAAGTGAGATGAACTGAAAGAAATTTGAAGGGGAAATTATATACAATGCCTTTGCTTGGTCGTTTGGCTCAAAATCTGATGAATTTAAATTTAATTTGTAAGTCTGATGCTTATATAATTTTTTCCTCTTGATGCTCAACTTATCTGATATATTTACATGTTGCCTGTTTTTTTCTCTGGTGTGAGAAAACAGTAGGGGTTTATAGAAACAGAATAAGTTTCATGTAAGACCGCTCCAATGTCCTTTCCTAATTAACTGATCACTATTCTTAAGTTAACCTGGACGTCATCATTGCTATGTCAGGTGTATTTTTATGGAGGACTCAGAAGCAGACAGGAGTGAAAGAAGCTCTAACACGGGAGGTGACACGCGATTTTTAGAAGAGGTCTTATTTGAATAAATAAAGCTGCCTTAATATTTATAACATGCATCTGTTTCTAAGAGCCCCTCTACCAACTCAATGGGATGTCAGGATATCCTGCTGCACAGTGTATACTCATCAGACAAACATGACTAGTACTCCAATCAGTAGTTTGCTATCAGCATCCCTTGCATTTAAATACTCATAATTAGGCTACATGATAAACACTTCATTACAATGAAGAATGGCACTGCCATTTATCACTTCTGTCATTTCAATTGAGCCTAAAAAGATACTGATTTATAACAAAATACCAGATTACCTATCTCATTTATGCCTGTAGAATGGGAATAAATTTTTAAAGTATACATGCACAATCATAAAACAAAATATGAAAAAAATATTTTTGCATACTGAAAGCACAAAAATTAATAGCTATTTTTATTCACTGTGTCTGTAGATCTCTTTCTTTTCCTATATGTCTCTGGCTCCTTGGCACAGGAACACTGTGGCATACAGTCATGGAATGCAGTACCTTGCACCTATCCACTGTCATAAGAGAAGGTATTGGAAGATAGGAAGATATGCGATTAAAAGGAAATAAACTACTCTACAAGTGGGAAACTGATGCAACGTTAAGCTGTCATTCTGCAGAAAATGTGTATTAGTACAAATTGTTCCCTTCCTCTTAGAAAATCCAAAAAAGTATGTAAAGATTCTAGACGTGTACCATAAATATTTTTCCCTGACTGAGAAATTAAAAATCTTTCAAATAACTACTCATATCGTGGAAGTTTTGATACTTGTAATGATCAAAACAAGAAAAAGTATGTGTGTTTTTTTGGGACAAAAGTGAAAGGTAAAGAACTAGGCAAAATATGAGGGTTTGTGGTTTTTTTAATCACATAGGTAAGCCATTTGGCTGTAGTATTACAAGTGTATATTTCAACAAAATTATCCTTTTGTCTTAAGAAAATGTAGTGAAAGATAAGCAAGCAGAAGGAGCAGAACAAGGATAGCCAAGACTAGAATGAGCTTTTAAAAAGCTAATTTATAAATGACTCAGAATGTAAATTTAAACTGTGTGAAAAATGTCTAAGTAAAAGCATAACAGTAGCTTACAAAATCTTTTCTTTCAGTACACTATAGAGATCTGTTTCATTATTTGATTTATGAAATAATTTCTTATTTACATCCAAACATGTAACTATATATCTAAATGCATCTGTGTACACATACATAGATGTATTTTTACATGCACTTCTGCACAGAGATACATCTATTTGTGAGTGGAGCCTCTCTGCGTTGCTACATCTGAGCAATAAGCATATCAGCCCAACTTATGGCAAGTGTCAAGAGTGTCAAAAATGGGCAGCAATGGAAGTATCTTAAAGAGGATAGAAGCGCTCTATCTGATCTGAAGAGACCACATCTTGTTCTTATTGCTCTTACAAGAGGAGTAGAGTTTGTGCAATTTTATGACAAAGCATTAATGCATTACAAACAAAAAGGGTACACAAGAAGATGTCGCATTTAGTAAAACGCATGTCCAAAGAAAGAAAATGCAGCTAGCTCAGCATTTTGCAAATATAAAGGCAAGTGCTTTTCACTTTGAAATGACAGTTCACATCAAATCTGTTGTTTAAATGAATTGCGGAATTAAAAATAAACTATTTAAAATTATAACTTTTTCAAAAATTTACGTTAATGAAAGTTTTTTTTTAGTTTTCATTTTGATTTACAAGACAAGAAAGAATAAATTTCTCTTAATTTTGAATTAATACGAGTTTTGATTACTTTTTGCAAGAGGGAGTTATTCACCTTTTTAGGTATTCTAATTGGCAAAAACTTTGGTAAGTCTTTATTTTAAGTGATAAATAGTAATAGTGATTTTTGAAGACTAGCTTTCATTTGATGTTAAGGATAGGAAATACCTTTGAAATGTCTTTTACTTGCCCTTTGATTGTATATAATGTTCCACGATCACTTTATTATAGTGCAAGCAATATACTAGAAAAAAGTTTTAAACAATCTTAATCACAACGAAAAATTTTTCTAAGAGAATATGGAGTTCATATCCTGCTAAAAACAACTTCTGAATTGTATCAAAATAAAGAAATATCTTCTCTTTTAATCAAGTGAGCCCAGGAGTAGTCAAAATATGCTGCATAAAGACCAACTGAAAAGTACTTGCATGATATTTGTGCACTATAACTTTGATCATCAAAAACACTTTTTTCCTGGATTTTCATATAATTTTATTAAAATTTACAATTAAAAATAATCTAAAACATCCTTGAAAATATGTAGAAAAGCATTCTTTGATTGCATTTTTTGTTTTGCTTTCTAATAAAGAGCCTAAATTAAATCTCATAAGAAATGTAAGGTGCTCAGCACATTTCAATCCTTAGAATCAGGAATGGACCTTAGTAAGACACAGTAATGTAGGAAAAGTGGAATGCTGCAGTAATTTGGGAAAAGTGGAATTCCATTCTGAAAGTACACAGTCCTTTTACAAAAACAGATCAGCTGATTTGATAGTTAAATATAGATAAAAATATGAATGCATTCAATTCAGTTTTCACAGTTGATTCAGATTTTTAGAGTTGAAGATTTCATGGTTTTGAGAGAAACAAAGAACTTTGTAATTATCATAGCAATATGGTTACAAGCAAATCAAAAAAAGTTAATCTTTAAAAATAGACAAAGTTTTTAACTGGGCCAGACAGGCTTAAATATGTGCAAGAGGGTTGAAATTTCAAAAGCTTTTCAGCACATCAAGTAGAAATTTCACTGAAGATAAAATTTATGCTCTGAAGGAGTTTTGGAAAGTCCTACCTGATAATACAATTGCTTGATTTTAGTGATAGTGAAAATAATGTTATGACAAAGCTAATAACTCCTGTTTCTGGGTAAAAACCAGAAAACATTAAATAAGAAAAACATTAGCAAAGACCTTTCAAATGTAATTTTGATAGAGTGTCCTGGTTCAGCTTCTATCACCCATTCACAATTCAAGGAATCTTTATAATACCCTGGCCAGCCTGGAGAGAGAATTACTCCACTGGGAGATGAAAAATGCCCACCACATGGAGCTAAAAATGAAACAAAGAGAAAGGTAAACAACACAGATTTATTATATGTAGTTCACAATTATAATTTTCAATCACAATTGTCACTTTCCATTATTTTACCATGAAAAACGCCCACTAAATGGAGCTAAAAATGAAACAAAGAGAAAGGTAAATAACATAGACTTCTTATATGCAATTCATAATTGCAATTTTCAATATAGGACAACTATAATAAACAAATTTTAAAAATTCAGTTGCAAGAAGACGCAAAAAAGGTTTCAAAGCTAATATATTCTATGGTGTTCAGAATTACATGGAGATTAACTGAAATAAGACCTTAAAAACTTAAAATAAACTGTTCCATAATTCTGACAACAGGGGTTTTTTTTCTACTGTATCCTTACAGTACAATCTATTTTCCTGCAATAAAGGACATAAACCAAAGCATAATTTCTACAATATGTCATTATTTTCACTTTTAATTTTGAGCAGAGAGATTTGAAAAACTTGAAAAAGTTTTAGTTGAGTATAAAGCTAGAAAGCAGTGAAGTGTTATTTAACTTTGACATAAATCTACTGTCACAGCACATGCATTTTGCTTGTCACGGCAGTTCTTATTCCTCATTCATGAAAAAGACCTACTTACCATTCTTCCAAGATTAGTTGATGTTTATTAAGCACTTGGAAAATATAGATCAATATATATAAATAAATAAATATTCTGCAAGCAGAATTACTAGAAATAACATGTAATTTTTCTCTTAGAACAAGTGAGTAATTTTAAGTATTTCAGTGGTTTAATGGCACATTAATTACAGTAAGAATCTCTACAACTGTAAGATTTACAAGGATGAAGAGCATTTCTGAAAACAATTCTTAAATCAATACCAACCCCCCATGCCATGGGCAGGGACACCTTCCACTAGACCAGGATCAGAATATTCTGAGTTGGAAGGGACCCACAAGGATCAATGAGTCCAACTCTTAAGTGAATGGCCCCTACAGAGATTGGACCCATGACCTTAGCATTATTAGCATCAAGTTCCAACCAATTGAGTTAACAAATAGCTGAAGAAAATCTGGCACAGAATGAGGGAATTTTCCATTAGTTCTTCAGTGTTAAGACAGTCATAAGGCAGAATAGACATTCTCAGAAGTAACAATTAGGTTTGAGTGAAGCTGATTTTGGCTATGGAGAGTCCATCCCAAAGATGATATAATCTCACAGGCTAGTAGAGTAAGAACTGTAAAACCAATACCACTGAAGGACAGATCTTTTAGGTTTTAGTCTTACAAAGCTCTGTGTGGGTTTTTAATTTCATGCTTGAATGCAAACCCGTTTCATCTGATGGATCTACATGCCTATGAAAGTCAAGTGCGTGTGTCATCCCACTTTTGTGAGATCAGCATCACCTCTGTGTTATGGATAGGTGAGGGAAAGACAGTAGGAATACTTGTCATGCTTTTATTTATTTATTTTCAGTAGTAGATTGATATTCCCTAGAGAAATTAATTCACAGAATTATCTTGAGTTATCTAAGAAATGCAGTAATTGAATCACTAGAAGTATTACCACTTTTACAAGCGGTAAAAAATCATAATATTTTTCTAGCAATTTAAAATATCTAGATATCTAGAGAAAAAAAGTCAACTTCAGTGTGTATATGTATATATATATATACATATGAACTTTATCATACATAATGATCTGGTAGGCCACATGGTAACTTACAAACACTAGGAAGACATTATTCCTTCATTTAAAAGGATGCTAAGGAGTGATGTCCCTCAGGGCTCTATCTTGGGACTGGTACTCTTTAATATCTTTGTCAATGACATAGACATGAGATCAAGTGCACCCTCAGCAAGTCTGCAGATGACATGAAGCAGAGTGGTGCACTGAAGGCAGGCTGAGAGATCTGGGGTTGTTTAGCTTGGAGAAAGCAAGGCTTTGGGGAGACCTCACTGCAGCCTTCTAGTACCTTAAGGAGCCTTGTAAAAAGAAGGAAGAGGGACTTTTTATACAATTAGAGATAGGACAATTGGCAATGATTTTAAAATGAAAGGAGGAAGGCTTAGATTAGATCTTAGGACTAAATTCTTTACTCAGAGGAGTAAAGAAAGCACTGGAACAGGTTACCCAGAGAAGTTGTGGATACTCCATCCCTGGAATTGTTCAAGGCCAGATTGAATGGACACCTGAGCAGCATGATCTAGTGAATGGCACCCCTGCCCACTGCAGGGGCATTGGAACTAAATAATCTTTAAGGTCCCTTCCAACACTAACCATTCTGTGATTCTATGCTTAAATACTTTGTTGGTTCTCATAAATATTGGAGTAAATACATTAGACTATAGAACTGCGAAGGCATGACCAGTTTATTGTTATCATGGGCTTATTGTTACTCTTTGCTTAATTGATAATCAAGAATTTGATCCAGACCAAATTAGATTTGGTGAGCTCCTCAGGATCTTAAACCTCAGGGACTAAACCATTTTCTAAAGGAAAATCTTACAGGTTTGTTTTGTTTGTTGGTTGGTTGGTTGGGTTTTTGTTTGTTTTTTGATGTATTTCCTTATTTTTAGTTTTATGACACTTTTCTGAAAAAAGTTCTCCAAATGACTTTGGATTTCACCAAGCCTCAAAGTTCATACATAGTTGACATAATCAAGCTGAAATTTTCCCCCAATTTCATTTTGTGAAGGGAAAGATGAGCTTGCTTTGTTTCTTTGCCAGACTCACTCACTAGAAACATACACATATTTATTTACATCATAGACATGTAGGCCAAGATTTTCATTTTGCTAAGGTTTTCTTTTATTGTTCAACAAAGTATCCTAGAAAAGAACTAATAAACTGCTTTAATCCTTTAATTTTTAAATATGGGAAAAAACTTTGGCCTCTTATCAAAAGACTTCAATATTTACTTCCAAAGCAAATGAGATATGTCAGGAAACCTTTTGAAAATGATGGATTGAAAACAATCCTACAGAGAAGGACTTGTGGATATTGGTAGATGACATGAGCCAACAGTGTGCACTTGCAGGTCAGAAAGCCAAATGTGTCCTGGACTGTGCCAAAAGAAGCATGGTCAGCAATAGGCGATTTTTCCTTTCTGCTCTGTCCTTGTGAGAGCCCCCCATACTGGTACTGGCATAGTACATGCCATTTTCTATATTATTCTGTACTTTTCCACTAGAAAAATAGATTAATTTTGCTCTCTTTGACACAACTTCAAATTGAAGATCATGAATTATTATGCATTTGTCTGATTTTCATTTTTTCTCAGGAGATTACCAAGCTGCTATATTAAACTGATGAACTGTTAAAAATAGGTATTTTTTGTTTTTAAGGACATAATAGACCATGTTTCCCATACTGTGTAGGGAAAAAAAAAGGGTTTCTAAAAGTTATGTAGATTTCAGAATTCAATCTATTACAAACATTTCTAAATATGCAGATTTAGACTTCTTGTTTTCATCACTGATGTTTTTGAAATGGGCTTTCTCACCTTTTGTGTTAAAGTCTCTTTTTCATACTACCTCTGGTAAACAGTATCAGCCAAGCAATAAAGTATTTAAATTTCTATTCACCTCAACAACCAGAAGTTTAACTCTCCAGCATTCATATTCATAATGTATAGGGAGTCTATAAACTACAAAGTATATCAACAAGAATAGGAACACCAGATGGCCTTATTCTGAGCCAGTATACTACCATAGTTCAAATACATTATTGCTACACTTGTACAAAGTTCCATATTCTCACCACATTTTCATGACACTGTTAAAGATTATATTTAGAATACAGAAAACCCCTCTATTACAAAAATACTACTATGAATAGTACATTAAAAATAATTCACATTATAAGATTGCCTAAATTTGGGATAATTTCTCTTTCTAATTGGGGTCTCACAATAATGAAGTGTTTTGCTGCTGTTTTGGGTCTGCATCTTTCTTACCCACCCCTGATTATGGTTCTTCCTGATGCTTGCAGTGCAAGATTCCATAGATTTTTTTCATTTGACTTTCACCATCACAACCTGATTTCCTAGACCCAGGAGTCCTTGCCTTCAGAATAGCTGGGCTATTTGGCTGATCTTAAAGAGCCTTGTTTCTCAGAAAATAAAACTCTCATCTTGACAAAGGATTGTTTCCCTGACCTTTTTTACATTGATTTTCATCCCCTATTCTTTTCTCTAGCTATATTTGATGGTTGCCTGACAGATTCATTCTCAATGTCTGTGTGTTCAAAACAAAACACCAGAAATATAACTTAACTAGAGGTTGTCATCAACCAGAATCTATTTGTCAAACACAGGGATATGCCAAATACTGAAAGTTAATCTTAGTCTGATCTAAGAATTCTTACAAAGTCATTTGTATTTATTTCTTTGTATGGTAAGGTACAGGGGTGAGACAGGAAATTTCTGTATATAAGTATGAAAAAAGCTTTGAGGATGACAGGCTAATCACTGAAGGTGTTATAGATTCATAGTTTTAGTCATGTTTTTTTCAAGAGCTTATCACCAATGCTACAGAACCACAGGATATTAAGCATTACAGGAGTTATGCAGGAAGACCAAGGTTAGAGCTTCAGCACAGGTACAACAGCACAATATTAGAATAGATTATGGGAATATCCTCCATATAACCCTCACAGGAAGGATGAAAGGCACAAGGACAGGAATCCCAAATTCAAAATCATCAGAGAGCAGCAAAAGCAGGACCACTCCACTAGAGAAGAGAAGTCAGGAGCCAAGGAAGATCACGTGTGCACACATACACAAGCATACACTGAGTTAGAGCCTTCACAGACAGATCCAGCTCTTCCTGAGCAAGGTGAACAAGTCTGGACTGGTTACAGAAAAAGGGTCTGGTAACAACCAAGTGACCACTAGATGATGCAATTTGATGGGTAAGGTCTGAGGTCAAACCAGGAAGCCACATGGGCACATTGAGATAGCCAAGAACAGCAGCACTGCTGGGATCACAGCCCCAGGCTCAGCAGAAATAGGATCCTGGGCCATGGGCAGGGCTGGGAGGAAGTCCCAGCAGAGGCTGGTCAGGACTGCCCTGAAAAATGAGTGTGCTGACCCTGTCCATCTGCACCATGTTTACTATCAAATAGCTCTCTGGTATAAATTGTAATTGCTGACATTTCTGCAGTGGAAGGAAAAGTGCACAGTGGTGACATTCAGCGTCTCCTAGTCAGAATGTGGAGGTTATGCCTTTGACTCGATATATACGACAATGAAATTACGAGGTGGGTGTACAGCTTATATGAAATAACCGTGTAGTACAGGCAAATGTGCACACAATCACTAAAAATTCTGAACACCCAACAGACCAAATTGCATTATTAGTTTGAAAATATTTTCATTTGTCTTCCAATTTTATCTGAAATTTTAAAAGTATATCTAATTCTAAAGATGACAAAAACATCTAATACAAATATACCCTTGTCTGAAACTTTAGGATTCCAATATATGTTCCATTCAGAGTCTCCAGCCACCTATGGATCAGATTATCTTCTGCACGGACTGACACTAAAAAAATATTCCCAGTAATTTAAGTTTTTAATGTAACATTAAAAATGCAACTTTATATTTTATTAGCAGTGTTGCACAGCTCCATGAAGCCTATATGAAAGCAGAGGCATTATAGCCTATACTAATCTTGTCTAGTGAAACTGACCCACCTTATATTATGAAACAATAATAATTTATCTCAGAAACTAAACTGAATGTGAAGGATATTATAAGCAGTCACATTAATGTATTGAAATTATGCAATTTTTTTCAGGAAGGCAGTTACATAGTGAAAACAAAAATTAAGTTTTCGTTTAAAATAAAAACTCACAAACCATAAATCAGAGATTATATTGTTATTGATTAAATATAATCATTATAAGCAACTGAATTAATTTTTCCCCTTTAGGAGAAGAGATCTTCAGCTATAGACAATGAAGTAAAAATTATAGTTTGGTATCTATTAGTGTAAACAAGTCCAAGGAAATATGCAAAACACTATGGTTTATACGTTGTGATGTATGAAGTATATAATTTCTATAAAAAAGGAAAATCAGTTGCTAAGGGAATCTTTCCCAGCCTAGGAGTCACTGTTGATAGAAGAAACACAAGCACTGCAACAGAGGACTAAAACACCTCAAGAAGTTTTAAATAGCACGGCCAAAGACCCAAAAGAAATCAGCATCTTCATTCTAATCTAATATTATATCAACAAATGTCACTGAGCACTCAAATGATTTTAAATTGTTCATCTGTTTGAATCAGGAAGTCAATAGCTGTATATTGAAGAAAACCTATATGAAACCGGGTGAAAAAAAATTTAAAAAAATCAAAGCAACAAACCCCTACAAAACCCCCAGACTTCTGCTCAAGAACATTGATTGACAAGTTAGCAAGAGATTTAAATATCACAGCTGAAGAAAAGGAGCCTTCAATATACTAAAATAAAGTTTGGGAAAAACAGAAGGATTTTCTTATTTTCTTCTCCTCTGATATTTCTTTCTCCCAAGTATTAACTAGGCCAGTCATGATATTGATTGGACTGAAATTCCAAACTGCAGAGATTAATATTATGGGTGCTTTTCTAACACTGAAACTCTTTGCTTTAAACATTTTTTTCACATCAGACAAATATATTCTTTAAAAAGAAGTGAAAAATAAAAGGCAGGAGTAATCCTTTCAAGCAAAAAATGTCTTTGGGAAATGATAGTTCCTCCAGCACTACATAGGAGCTATCTGAAAGTATGAAGAGTGTAAAATATTCCCATTCCAGTTCTATTAAGTTTCTTAGATTAGCCTTCATCATTACAGATGTTATATAGCAGTGTTTACATCACTGATGTATATGCCATTTTTTTTCATGTTTTTCTTCTATCCTTATAACTGTTATAAGAAAAATTCACTCCTGCAGACAGGTTTATAATAAAAACTCATGCCTTACTAGACTCCTTTATTAAGGGCTAGGTTTTACAGGAGCTTTGTGCTATACTTCTGCAAAATTCTGAACTTCATTTGGTGACAAAACACATTACATCAAGTTCTCCTGAACCAGAAAGAAATATACATACCTCCACACTTAGGAATAGGTCCACTCCACATTACTTTTCCATCCATTAGCATACAAGTAATTGTTTCAGTTCCTTGTGTTTTAATAAATCCTTCTTCGCATATAACAGAAATTGAGCTCCCCAGCTGAAAGTTGTCTCCAAAACGCCGAGCATTGATTGGCACTCCGGGATCCGGGCACTCATTATGTCCAAATGCTTTTTAAGAGAAGAAAAGAAAAAGGGGGCGGGGGGAAGGGGAAATAGTGTGATAACTCTTGCAAGTAACAGGAGATTTTTAGGATTTTGTTCTGCAAATAAGAACAAAAAAATTGTATTAGGAAAAAAAGGAAACAATAAGAAATAAAAAAATTGATCAACATCAGAAAACATACACCGGTACAAAAAATATAAAGTTATACCAGCATGAATCTCATCTTGGACAGCTAGGTGCTGGCAGATTTCAGTGATGGCTAAGTTCTCCTTTCCAACAGTCCATCCTATCTAATGTTACAATGGGCCAGAAGCATCCTTCAGAAAGGCAGGGCAAGCATCTATGATATAATAACTTTAGTCATCTTTTGTATATCCAATTCACTGTCACACCATTTGAGCCATACTGACCTCAGTATGCCTAATACTACCATATTTTATTTTGTTTCCTGTACTGTATGCTCATAAACAGTGACAAAAGGGGTTGTGTTGGCAAAAGAAAGAAAATTTTAAACTTTAAACATAACATTTTGTTTAAGGTCAAAGAAATTCCTAGTATTTACAAAATTTCACATTTATTTATGGACAAAGTGAAAAATTTTAATTTATATGTATACATCTAGATACTATAACAAAGCTTGTCCATGTCTTTTACTACAGAACACACCTTACACTTGGAGAAGAAAGATCATATTTTTAACACTATCATTAAAATAGATGTATTAGTTAGTTATTGTATTTTGATGTTTTATTTATGAACACACATCCTATATTTTTCAGAATGATGATTTTTCAGTGAGAACAAACATTACAAGCATGATATCCACCTTCATCACATATGATGACTTCAAATCGTATCTTCAGAAATATTCTTACATATGGAGACATCAGAAAGGACTATGCCCTAAAAAGATGTTTTTCACTTTTTTTTTCCCTACAGTTTTACTAATGTGTCTGCTAGACAAAACATACCCATGAAATTTTTAAAAAAGTAATATTTCATTAACTTAGCAGAAAGATTTCTCAGATGTTGCATTACAAAGGTATTACAAATCATAGCAACAGACAAGAGAAAGCATTTATTTATTGATGTTTTGACTTAGGAAACGTCACAGATATTGGGACTGAAAATCATGCTTTCACTGAATAGTTGTCTACCATTCAAGGATGACATTAAAAATTATGCAATCCCATACTTTTTCATAGGGGTTACAAAAACTTTTCCAATACTTTATGCACAGTCACTACTTTTAGGAAGGGAATTGATTGTCTGTTTTTCTTACTACCTTCAGACAACACAGAGATAGATTTTCAATATTGTTATCTGTAAATGTAGATAAATTTTGACTCCGGGTTTAGCTTGCTTGTGTATGACATCAGTTTATTAAGGCTGCAAAATCAATTCATTGCTCTATATTTCAGCTCAGGAACTGCTGCTCCTATGGAATTAATTGTACTGTATAGAATGGCTTTGGGACACAAGATAGTGAAAGATAATCCTTCCCAACAACGGCAGTCACTTTCTTAGCCTGGTTGCAGTTACATTACTTGATGGGCAAAATACAGTCTGCTGATGCTTCTAAAAAGCTTCATGGTGGAGCTGTCCTATTATACAAGCCTTAGGCTGAAAAGAAAAAGAATACACGGGTATATCTTTAATTATATTCATATATTACCCATCAACAATAAATTAAGAAACAATGGTTCCTTATCAACTAGTTTTCCTGACTTGTATACTCATCAACTACCATGACTGTACAGGTGTACCAAGCAACACCTGGAAAAATGCCAGGAAGCATAATGATAGATCAGGGTGATGTTGATATTCTGATATTAACTCAGAAGGATGTTAAAGTGTGCATTTTGTGTTTAAAAAAAAAAAAAGTGCAGGGGAGAAACTTCAGAGATCTTATGAGAAATGAAGGTAGAAATTAAGCTAATAAGAACTCATCTGGTGTAAAGTCTGCTTTAAAACATCTTTGGAAATAGCACCAGCAAGGAGTGGTCCAGTGGCACAATTAATTATTTTAGTGGATTGCCCTATGAAGAGTTTTGGCTGATAAGTCTAGTAATAGCTAGAAAAGGTAACCCTTTCAGAGGAAAATATCAGAGAATAAACCAAAGTTAAGAGAATATCAAATAACAGAGATAGTTCATACTCAAAATAATTGTAAAATAATACTTAAAGCTATGCAAACAACTGGTGGCTTATTTAGTATATCCGTGTAAACTCACACTTTTTTTAGTACATTACAGTTTGAAGAATTCTATCTTGAGAAGTACTGAGACTGAAAAAGTCTAGCAGGAGGGAGTGCCAGGAAAAATGGGCTGTAATGAACATACCCTAGCACAGCAATGGACTAAACCCATCATCTGGGATTGTCAGTGTTTTGGTCTACAGAGCTGAAATCACTGAATTAATTAGGTTGATGTCAGAGGCCCACTGTTTGACCTTTAGCAGGCTGCTATGCATCTCTTAAAGTTGTAACTTTCACTAGATAAAGCACAATTAAATAATTGTTATGAAAAGAGCAACAAGAAATATCTGTGTAACTGAGAGAAACAGCAGCTCTAAACTTATATAAAAATATTTGTCCAGCACCACCTACACCCCAAACAACGAGAAACAGCTCAAAGCAGTCCACCAGTTAGCCTGAATCAATCTAGAAGAAGCTCTCCACCTCAAAACATCCATCCACATCAGCCCAAAGGGAGGTTGGCATGAATCTGGCTTGTGGAATGCCTACTCATGGAGGACCTCACAACTTTCTCCTTTGCATCAGCTCCTTTGTCATGGGAATGAAACATCCATTCCCCTCCACATCAATGAAGATACTTACAGAACTAGCCTACATTCTTTTTAAAGAAGTAATCAAGTACTACTGCTCTTGTGACATACTATTCCTACTCTTGAAGGGGGCAAAAAGAGACTGATAACTTAGACATATACCAACTGGAGTGTTAGAAGAAAATGGATATTTTTAATTAACTTTGGGTTTATAAATCCTAAGACAGAGTGAAATTCTACCAGTTCCTTTTTTGTATCATTTCTCTTGCCCTTAAACTATTTATTATGGAAAGAGTACTTCTGTAATTTATCAGACTGCAGCTGTCTTTACTGAAGAAAGAGTAGACACATTTTTTGGAGATTATTTTGCTTTTGTAAGTAGATTTTAGCTATAGAGTTTAACAGACACATGAACAATTCTAGCTTAAACACAATTATGAAAAGAAACAAAAACTCTGAAATATGTTAAAAGAAGATGAAAGAGAAGAAAACATAGAGTAAATATTACAACTTCTGTAAAGAAATATGGTTTCAATATCTCATTTTAATTATAACTGATTTTATATTTCAGTAGTTCTAAATAACTCGAGTTTCCAATAATTAGTTAAACTACTAAGATATTTAGCTACCACCCTAAGTTCAGTTTGCAATGATAACTGATATGTATAGAAACCAATAAGAAGTCACCACATTTTCTTCATATTTACACTCGACATTTGTGAGAAATGACCTGAGGATGAAGCAGATAAGATAGAGGGCTGGGAGTTGAAATATAAGACAAAATTGGAAAAAGAATGTTTGCAGAATAATCTGGTGTCAGCTCATCTCTAAGTCTTAATAAATACTTCTCTGAAAGACTGACAACCTAAAACAAAACAAAAGAGAGAGAAAAATCAAAGACGGAGAGTGAAAGATGATGTAAGAAAAGTAGAGATCCACAGGGGAATTTGGTCCTTCAAATATTATGAAAATAATTTTAATTCTTAGCATTTCTTGGAAAAAAATGTGGATTCTGGGTGTCTCAATGACAAACCTCACTTAATCTCATTTCCTTTTTGGTTTAATGGATCCTCTTTGGGGTTTTTTGGTGTTTTGGTTTGGTTTGGTTGTTTTAGTTTGGTTTGGTTTTTTTTGGTTGGTTGGTTTTTGTTTGTTTTTGGGTTTGAAAGGTTTTTGTTTGGTTGGGTTTTTTTGTTTTGTTTTGGTTGGTTTTTGTTTTGTTTTTAAGTAAAACATCTTAAACAATTAATTTTTTTCCCACATAGACAAGCAGGTAACACATTATTCTGGGAAGGGAGATGTAGGTACACAGTTCTCCTTCCAGTGATGCAGTTGAACATTCTCTTACATCTTAAGTAAGCCTCTGGAATTATAAATAAACTCTTAGACAATAGGGAAAAAGACAGGAATAGTACTGGTTGCTCATGACATCAGACTTTTTGGAATATGAAAATATCCATCATATTTTGCTTATTTTCTCTATCTGTTGGCATGGAAAGCCTCTACCATCAGAAAGAAAAGAAAACAAAAAAACAAACAAAAAAATACAAATGTGTGAGGTGGATGAGGTAGAGAAACTCTGTTTGGAGGATATGCAGATCTCCCCAGTAGACACTCTCTTATCCCTACCATCCTCTGCAAGAGCTGCAAGACTTCAGGCATTTCCGGTCCTTCCAATTTCATTCCAACTACCCAAAAGGAACAACTTGGCTGAACTCAATCCTCCTCATTTCACTGCTGGAGTGGCAAAATTTAATTGTGCATATGCTCCCAGGAAAGTTTCACACTGTACTTTGCAGTTATTCATGCTGTGGCTTTACAAATTGCTTCACCACATCTGCCCTGGGTTTTGGTGTGAAATAAATGCCAAATAACTTGATAGAAATACAACACAGGCACCTCTTCATGTGTCCTTCAGAAGAAATGTAACAGTTCTGCCAGGAAAAACTAAGGTGGATAAGTGCTAACAGTATTTAGTACTGGAGAAAATATTTAATATAACCTTCAATTATTGTTATGCTGTCAGTAAATGTATGTAAGGAAGGTGAAACAGAGAAAAAGAAAACAAATCTATTGCGGTTTAACTTAGATAACAGCTCCTATGGCTGCTCACTTTAACTGCAGTGACTAGGAGCTACCACACACTGCAATCATTAGCTCCAGGATAATATACACATTCACAGCTAAACGAACATATGAGTTCTCAAGAATAACTGTTTTGTACATGTAACAATGGTGATTAATATCATGTAGCACAAACTGCACTATCAGCAAGTTCAGTAAAGTCCTGTTATACAATTTGAAACTTGCCTGGTTTGTCAGTCATCAAACAATGATCTCTAAAGCCATAAATGAGAAATATGCACATATTTATCTCTAAGGCCACAAACGAGAAATATACACATACTTTCAGCCCTAGCACGGAATTTATACAATAATCCAAACACCTAATTTAGCATTTTCCTGAAGGTGTATTACCATAGTGTCATGTTTACATACTTATGCCTACCTCCTAAACCGTCTGTTGAAAAAGATGCATACACAATAAAAAAATACTATTACTCACTGTTATAAGTGATGTTAAATCCACGTCCTGACATTGAATGGTCAGCTTGAAATTCCAGACGCAAAATATGGCCATTACTGGTAAGATGGGAAGGAACTTCAGCACCAGTAAATGTTCCTATTATGGGGGAATCTGGAGAGTCACCATCTTTAACTGCAAGGAAGTCAAACTGAGATTCCAAGTCAAAGTCATTAAAGGAGAGATGTATTCGGCTCCCAGGGTCTGAAATTATTGTCCAGATACAGTTTAAATTATTTCCATATCCCTCTGGATAATCAGGTGAAAGAACTGTTCCCATCGGTGCAGTAAAATTGGAAAGGCAAGGAACTGCCAAAAAAAAAGCGAGAGAGATATAGATATTAGATAACAGAATAACACATTTCAATAAGGATTTATTTTAGTGCTAAATTTTTGTAAGAGATCTTAAAACTTGCTGATTACCTCAGCTGAATAATTCATTATTTGTAATGATCTGTGAATCTAGAAGAAAAGTTGTTCATTTTTTTTAATCTTTGTATTCCCTTCCTCTCAATAAAACTACCTCTCAAGCAGAGCCCCCAAGAAATAAAGAACATCCTTGTTGCATTGGAAATCCACAGCAGTCCTTACAATTTACCCATGATAACAATCACTTGGCACCACTTATTTTCTCTTGTAGGGAAGTATTTAGATGAGCAGACCTCCCACTGAGCACATTAAAGGGGCAGAAAGTCAATAGTGCTCTTATCATTTGTTGTTCACACAGCGGCACCAGAAATTAACAAGCCTCAAAGAGACAACAGAGATGTTTTGTTGTTATCAGGATAATGTTTTATATTAAACCAATTCAGTTAAGCCATACTAAATTGAGTTGCAGAGATGAAAGCAACTGATTGCACTCTGAATATATTTGATCCATACAATTTTAGTGGAAAATTTAAGAAAGGTGCTGCCACAAACACGTATCACAACATTGGTTTTACTTATGTTGTATAATGTAACTGGAAGAGAGCTATAAATGTCTATGATAATGTAAGTGCTAAAAGGTATTCATATATAATACATGGAATAAATGTAAATAATTTAAAACCTTGATTTCAATTCAACAACTTCTAATGTAAGGTAACATATTAACATATAAGACTAGCTATAAAAAGTGTATCATACATATAAAATCTACAGAATCCTACCAAAAAAAGCCAATAATAAAACACTGTATCAAATCACATAAAGACAAATGCTTTAATAGTTGCTATAAGAGAAAAAAGTATTTTGGCAGTTCTAGAACCTGTCTTGGGCATAATCATTAGGCAAACCCACTACTGAACAAAAGTAAATTAATCCAGCCAGCAGAATTAATTGTATTGTGCTAACTCTGAAATCAATCACACAAATTATTACCTATAAGTAAAAACTTATAATAATGTTATGTCTTAAAAATAATAAGAAGAAAATATTTGGTACATACAAATACAGATTGGTATGTTTGCAGACCACTGGTTGTTTTCTTGGCAAATGATAGATTTCTCTCCAATTAATTCAAATCCAAACTGACACTCAAACCTTAAAACATCACGATTAGAAAATCCATCCCCTTCTCTGATACCATACAATGGTGTTCCAGGATCCCCACAGCTTTCCTTTTCAATTTCTGTTGAAATAAATAAGAAATTTATTTATAGAAGACTAAAACAATCTCCTTCCAGGTATATGCTGCATCTAGAAAATTTCAAGCAAATTAAAATCTTCTACATAAGAACAGTTGCCAAAATGCACCACTGAGTCTGATTCTATACTCAAGCTTCTTAAGGAGGAAATTTTGTTTAAGGAATCCCATCAGGGGAATGAGTGAGTGGTTGCGTAATGCTTAGTTGTTGGCTAGGGTTAAACCATTACAAGCCTTAGAAAAATCAGAACTGTTTGTATTTATAGAGTACTTGAAATTTAATTTTATTTTGTAAAATTTTAGACAATAATAACATTAAGTAAAATATCACCAGTAGTACATGAGCTCTTAAAAGTAGAAATAGAGACCTGTCCACATTTCAATACAGGTCAGATTGATGAACCAATGGCAAAGAAAGGGAGTAGTGACAGAAAAGAATTGCCCAGAGTCAAAAAGAGGCTAGACATAAATAGGTAGGTATATATACAAATTTATATACACATACACTATGTAAACACATGCAAAAAATATCTTAGCTCTACTCAAATAACATTTTACCTCAGCAGTCTTAAGTGCAAGGAATCTGAATGATCCTGTCCTATTTCTACAACTGTTAGAGCTATCATATTCTCTCAAATTGCATCCTGTTCTGAACTTTCAGTGATCGTTAGAGGCATGGAGGGATCTTCTAAAAGCATTTCCACTCACACCTTTCAAAAGTTCACAGGGCAATTCAAACCATAATTATAGGCATGAGTTGGAAGAGACCTTAAATATCCTCTAGTTCCACCTCTCCTGCCATAGCCAGAGACACTTCCATTAGATGGGGTTACTGAAAGTCCTGTCCAATCTAACTTTGATTACTTTGAATTATGGGGCATCCACAACTTCTCTGGGATACCTGTTCATAATGAAAAATGTCTTACTTATATTCAATGAAAATCTATCCTCTTTCAGTTTAAACACATTAGCTCTCATCCTAGCACCGCACTCAATGACAAGAGTCCCTCCCCATCTTCTCTGTAAGCCCTCTTTAGGTGCTGGAAGGCTGTTATAAGATCTCCACAAAGTCTTCTCTAAGCTAAATGACCCCAACTCTCTTAACACGTCTTCATAGGAGAGGTGCTCCAGCCCTTTGATCATCTTCGTGGCTCTCCACTGGACCCACTCTATCAGGCTCATGTTTTTCTTATGCCAGGAGCCCCAGAGCTGGAAGCAGTACTTCAGGAGGGGTGTCTCAAAAGTGGAGTAGAGGGGGAGAATCACCTCCCTTGACCTGCTGGCCACACTTCTTTTGATGCAGCCTAATGTGCAATAAATTTCCTGCTCTGCAAGAGCACATGGGCAGGTCATATCAATTTTTCATCCACCAATATCCTCAAATCATTATCTGCATGTCTGCTCACAATGCAGGCTTCACCCAGCCTGTAGCCATATTTGGGATTGCCCTGATCCAGATGTAGGCACTTGGCCCACCTTTCAAGCCTGTCCAGGTCTATCTGGATGTCATCTCTTCCCTTCAGTGTGTTGACCACACCACACAGCTTGGAGTCATCAGCAAACTTTTTGAGTGTGCACTCAATCCCACTGTCCATGTCGCTGAAACACATCACGCTGGTCCCAGTATGGACCCCTGAGGGACACCACTCATCACTGATCTTCACCCAGATATTGTACTGTTGACTGCAAGTCTTTGAGGGTGACTATCCAGCCAATTCCTTATCCACTTGTAGCATATTTGTCAAATCCATTTCCTCTCAGTGGGAACTTCAACAGTCTGCCACAACTTTTCAAAGACAATGGCTTGTGGCTTAATTTCATTTGTCAGTTCCCTCAGGACACTCAAATGCATCTCATTAGGTCCCGTCAACTTATATGCCTTCAGGTTTCTTAGATGGTCTTTAACCTGGGTGATCTTCTGTGGTGGGAGACACTTCATTCTCCCAGTCCGTGTCTCCATTCTGTGAGGTGAGTGGCGTGGCTAGAGCACTTGCTAGTGAAGCACAAGGCAGAAAGATTTTTGAGTACCTCAACCTTCTCCTTGTTTGTTGTAGACAGGTCCCCTGTTTCACTCATTATTACAGGTACAGTTTCTTCCATCTTCCTTTGTTCTCCTATGTACCTGAAGAAACCCTCTTTGATATTTTTCATTCCCTGGTCAGGCTCAGCTCCAGCTGTGCCTTGGATTTCTTGATCTCCTCCCTGAGAACTGAATGGGACCTCAGGAGGTGTCCAGGCTCCTGCTCAAGGCAGGCACATCTCTGAGCTAAGACCAGGTACTCAGGGATTTATCCAGTTGGGTCCAGAAAACCTCCCAGGATGAAGAATGTTCTGGTAAACCTGTTCCACTTATTGACTGTCTGTGTGGTAAAAAACAGTTTTTCCTTATATCTAGTCTTGTTGTAACTTTGTCCATTGCACTACCAGCCTTCTATCATGCACCAATGCAAAGAGCCTGGCTCTGTCTTCTCAATAACCTCCTCATAGATACTGACAGGATAATATTAGACCCTACTTCTACAACTCGCTCAGGCTCTCCTCACAGGGCAAGTGCTCTAGCCCCTGTTCTCCTTGGAAGGTCTCTGCTGAAGTCACTGCAGCTAATTACTCTCTCAAAACTGGATGTACTGGCCTCCATTACAGTCTGACCGATTTACTACTACCCTCTATCCTATCATTGAACCTGTTGGGGTTTTTTGGTTTTGGGTTTGGGTTTTTGGGGGGGGTTGGGAGTTGTTTGCTTGGTTTTGGGGGGTTTTCTGGTTGGTTGGTTTTGTTTTGGTGTTTTGTTTTCCTTTTGTCTTCCATCCAGCTATCTCTGAAAAAATTCTTGCATTCAAGTCAAGACATTATATTCACATATCCAACTCCGGATGAGTGAAAAGCTTTGGTAAGTTTAAAGTAGGCAACATCCACTGCTGTCCCCCTGTCCAGTGACCAAGTAACCTATAATGGAGCAATCAGCTTGCTAATTTAATTGATGAATTAGGCATTCACAACCACATGCCAGAAAAGGGCATCCAAGAAGACTTGATCCATGATTTCCCCAAGAACTGAAATAAAGGTCAGCCTGCATTTGCATAGGTCAGGCTTTTGTTAAAGGTCATAAAACTTTTTTCCAGTCTTTGTGTATCTCTCATAAGCCTGACAAACCACCAACGATAGGAAAATGGCCTTGGAAGGAGATTCACCAGTTTTTTTAGCACCCTTGGGTGCAGTCTGTTATGTAGTAGAAACTTGTAAAGAAAATATTGTGCTCAAGATGAGAAACCTAGGAATGCACTCATCATCCACAAATATAAGAAACGGAAATTCAGAACAAAATGGTTTTTTCCTTGTCTAGTCCAACTATCACAAACTTCTTTCATGAGAGATGAAAACTATAAAAAGGATAGAAATCTTAAAAATAAAATTAACTAATCACATGTAATAATAGCAACACATATCCCAATACCACAGTTTGAAAATTTCTCTTTAAAGGTCTTGGTACTACTTTTTTTACATTTCCATATATTTTGACTATGAGAAAAAACCAAACAAATAGCATTTTGATTTTAACTCAATTTTTCTGGACTAATATTTTCAGCAGCATGCACCTGATTTCTCAAAGCTTTCAGCTATTAAGGCTCTAAATAAAATTAAAATGTGACCAAAAACAAATAAAGAACATTCCATTTTAAAAAGAAAATGAAAAAGTGTTGAAGACTATTTAAAAAAAGACTTCACAGAGTTTTGAAAGGCTTTATTTTTCTGTCTGGTTAAAGAAAAATCAAAAACAACAAAACAAAACCAGTCAATAATAAGCACAAAACTCATTAACTTTTCTTATTGCTTTATTTATATTTTTTTAAAAACAGTTCTAGGAGAAGATTAATATAATTCATAATTTTTAAAAAATAAAACCAGGTTCAAACTCTCCTGAGATCACAGGTCTTCAACAAAAGTTACAGCTGTCCTGAAGAAACAATGTAAAATATCCCAAAGAACACATGAAGTCACTCCTCTATCTTCAGTGTTGGTGAGACTGTTAATGTCAAACCTACAGAACTACTCAATTTTTAACTGCCAAAGAAATACAAAGTTTTCCTAGGCTGTCCTTGTGGACTAATACTATTCTAAGTGTCTAAGTCACTTCATATTTCATTTAGGAAAACAAGTGCATTCTATAAACTAATTCTCCAACAAGTGATTATATTAGGTATCTTAATATAGTTTTCTCAAACAGTACATGACAGACAGTAAATTTATTTATACCTACTTAAATTTAGTCTCCTTTGGGGCTACTAATCTGATGTAGTTGGGCAAATGGTTCTCTTTAATTATTATTTCATCCCAAACAACAAAAGTTTCCATGTGTTTTGTCAAATTTGACAATATATATAGCTGAGCAAAGCCACCCCTATTAGGACTTAAAGGAACAGTTTCTGCATTCAAAATTGTTAGGCAGACTATAGTCATTTACAGGAGCTATTTGGAAAAAAATTCCTTTATCCTATGTGATTGCTGTATTTGAGGGATTACATCCATAGCCTTATATCGAATCTGCTTTCATAAATGAAATTAAGTTGGACAAAATGCTATATGAATAACAGGCTTAAATAAAATAAAATGTCCCTAAACCTCATTTGTATCCATTTACATTTATAGCAAATATTGCCTTAGTATTTTAATTTTTTTCTGCTTGCATTGCTTGCAACACCCTTCTATACTCTCTGTAAATTTTATATTAGCATCAGTTCATCTCTGAATTTGAAACAGAATAGTTTTGTCATTACTTAGCTCTCCGCAGGAGCAGAAATGATAGGGTTTGGGGTTTTTGTTTTTTGGGGGGGTTTTGTTGTTGTTGTTTGTTTTGTTTGTTTGTTTGTTTAACTGAAGTGCAAATAGCTTTTAGATTTGTTTAGAGAACATCAACAAACTTCTTTTAAAACAGGAAACAAACATGTGGCTTTCTGGGCTTTTGTCAGATAATCACATTTTAAATA